CTCTGTGCTAAAGGATACAACAGAATATAAGTATATGACTTAGTACTCTGTTACCGGATGAAGGGAACTAAATCGCTTAAATTAATTTAGCGATTTATTGGACTATAATATTATTATAAAACTAATTTTAAATCCATGATAGGGTCATTGTTTTATTAAATTTGAACTATGTATGTTTTGGATGTTAATTGTTAGAATATTTAATTCTTCGATGTAATTACATGGATTAATACTGGATTTTAATTACTAGATTGTTAATCTTCCTTATACAATTATTTGGATATTAATTTTGGATTGTAAATTACTAAACTGTTATATATATGATGTAATTTACAAGGATATAGAGGATTGTATGCACCGGTATGGGACGGTGATATACTGGTGACGGTTTAGCTCAAAACGTCTAAACCTAACCTAACGGATTAAAGGAATGGATATATAAATATTGAATCCTAATTTTGGTTTAAGGCATATCAACTGTAACTAAGTTGAGTGGCTTCCTAGATTAATGGATGGTAGTTAAGTCACATCAACTGAATAAGTTGAGTGCCTAACTAGCTGGTTTATTGTATGTCAGTTTAAAAAAAATATATTTGAGCTACATACCCTGGATTTAGAAGGACTTTATATATATGTTTATGGTACCACGAGTTGAGCTTGAGTCTCAGATTCGTTGGTTAGGATGCGTACATGCGGTGGATGCGTAGCTGGTTATAATAGGTTGAGGTGTACCCTGTTAGGTCTAGGTACTCATGCCCACCTTTGGGTGCGTATTCGCATGTTGCCTTCTATTCAAGTTGAGACCCCTATTATAAACTAGTGAATGTCTCTTAGTGTGGATATATTTATATGTATGGATTAGATAGATATTGTGAGGTGTCTACGCTATATCTGCGTATCGGGTCACTGTATGGATTGCAGTTAGATTAGAACTTGCTCGTAGGTCTGACCCACTCCTTTATTAATCTTTTCAGGTACAAGACGGTTCCAGCCTTAAAGCTTGATCGTGCTTGTTGAGGACAGTCTCACATTCAGCTAATTACGTAGGACTTCTCTCGATGCTTCTAGCATTATTTATTTTCAGTTTTCAGTTGAACTTTTGGTTAGGGGTCCATCAGTGGATTCCCAAGTTGTAACCTTGAAGTTTTAGAGGATTGGAGTTTTAGTATTCATTATACATGGAGGATTTTATAATTAGTATTTCTTTCAGTTTTTTTTTTTCTATCTTTATTATTTCATTTTGTCATCTGTGTTCGCTTTAAAATACTTTAATTGTTTGATATTCCCTCAGGTTTGGGCCTGGGCCTAATCAACCCGTGTCTCGGATCCGAGAGGTATCACAGAAGGTAAGAGCGAATTCCGAGGACGGAATTCCTTTTGTTAGGGGGGAAGAATGTAATACCCCTAATTTCAAAAGGATAGTCCTGGTATTTTATAAATTGTTTAAATTGCATTTATATTTATTTAATTGTTTATTTGTATTTAATAAATTGTTTAAATTGCATTTCTATTTGTTTAATTGTTTATTTGTTAATTTTACGGAGTTATGTGATTTATTTATTTATAATTTTATTTAACTGACATTTGTTTAGTTAGTACTGGTTTAATTATGTGCTTATGTGGCTATTTAAATATATAGTTTTTAATTTAACTGTGGTCCGTGTTTCGGTTTCCATATATATTAGTATTAGGGTTTAGTTTTCTTTTAGGTTTCACGTTGAGCCGACTTGTAGTTGGTTTAGGATTTAATTTAGGGTTTCAAATAAAACATATAAATACATAAGTATATGTCTGCCAAGGGCTTTGTTAATCCTTTTCACGTAGCAGAGAGATACAGAGAGTTGTGAGATTTTGAGAAAACAGATAGTGAAAACTTGAGAGCTTATAGAGAAGTTCAAGGAGGAAGGAATGGGGTTGCTTCTGGGTTAGCCAAGAGTAACAGAGGCGTGGAACAAAGTTGGAAATTCAGAGACGACAGTTAGAGATTTAAAACCAAAGTCTCGAAGGCAAGTTTCTGTTCTTGCTCTTTCCCTTTAATTCGTGTTCTGTGTATGCCTAGCTAGACTCTAGGAGTTTAATTAATACTAAAACAAATTAATTATGCGTGCTTAATCAAAATAAAACATAGGGTTGCAGAGTTATATATACATGTTCGTGTTTTCTTTAGTTTTGTGATCTTTATGCGTGAACTGTTGTTTAAATTGAATCTTTGAATGTTAAAACATTTAAAATAATTTAGTATGGACGTATGGGACGTAGGTTGAAGCTTAGAGGCCTTAGCAATGGAGTTTTAGGGTTTACAGAGGCTGAACGGACGAAGAAGACGGCATTAGCACCAACTTAGCCAACTCAGTTGGAGACTGAGCCGACTAAGTTGGCAACTTAGCCGACTAAGTTAGGAACTTAGCCTGCTCAGTTGGCAATTGAGCCCACTAAGTTGGGTCGCAACCTGGAACTTAGTTTTAATTGCCCAGAATTGTTTTGGAACCTATTTTAAGTAATCTAAATGGGTTAAATGGACTTTGGATGGTTCTAAAATGCATAATACACTTCTTATGCTTAGGAAATTTGACAATACGGATATGTAAATAAATTTTTATTAATTTTTTAAAGGATGAATCAGTATAAAAGCATACAACTTAGCATACTGATAATGGATGGAAAGAACCAAATTGCTTAGCTTAATTTTGGGCAACATAATGGATTATACTAAGATTATAAATCTTATATTGGATGTATAATAGATCATTTTATGTTTAAGGTTTGAACTATGTATGCTCTGGATGTTAATTGTTGGAATATCAAATTCTCTAGTGCAATTACATGAATTAATGTTGGGATTTATATTGCTGAAATTTTAAACACTTTTCTGCAATAATATGGATAATGGTTTGGATTGTAAATTACTAGCTTATTATTATGTTTTGTAATTTACATGGACATGAAGGATTGTATACACGGGTATGGGACGGTGACATACTAGGGACGGTTTAACTCAAAACGCTTAAACCTACCATAATGGATAAAAGGATGGATTGAAAAATATTGAATCTAAATTGTGATTGAGTCAAATCAACTGCGACTAAGTTGAATGGCTTCCTGGATTAATGGATAGTAGTTAAGTCATATCAACTGAATAAGTTGAATGACTAACTAGTTTGTATATTGTATGTCATCTCAATAAGTATTTGAATGACATACCCTGATTTTGGACGGATTTTATATATATATTTATGATACCATGAGAGGAGCTTGAGTCTCAGACTCGTTGGTTAGGGTGCGTATATGCAGTGGATACGTAGCTAGTTAAAGTAGGTTGAGGTGTACCATGTTAGGTCTAGGTACTCATGCCCACCTTTGGGTGCGTTTTCGTATGTTGCGTTCTATTCAGGTTGAGACCCCTACTGTAGTCCAGTGAATGTCCCTTAGTGTGAATATATATATATATATGTATGGATTAGATAGATATTGTTGAGCTATCTAGGATGTATCTGCGTATCGGATTACTGCTTGGATCGTAGTAGAATGGGACTTGCATGTGGGCCTGACCCACTCTTTATTTTTCAGGTGTCCGTCAGTTCCAGGGTTAGAGTTTGGACGTGCAGAGCAGATACAGATATTCATTCCTCCGACTACGTAGGAATCTTTTCTATGTTTAGCTTTAGATTCTATTTCAAATATTTTAGTTTCTATTGGGTTTTTAATAAGGGGTCCACTGGATCGATTCCCGAGTTGTAAACTTATGGAGTTTTGGATTAACGAATTTAAATAATTATGTTTTATTTTTATTCTAGTTTCTTTCAGCTTGTTATTTTTATTTCTTTAATTCAATTTGTATTCCGTGTTTGTTAAAATATTAATTGTTTGATATTCTCTCGGGTTTGGGCTTGGGCCTGATCAATCCGTGTCTCGGATCCGAGGGGTATCACAGTAACAATTAGCAACTTCTTTAGCAACTTTTCAGTAACAATTCGGCAATTTGTTTTTGACTAAATCAAGGAGAGTCTTCAGCAAGAATTTTCTACTGAAATTTATTGAAGCAAGCCATGAAGAGAAATGGAGATATATTGGGATTTGACCCAGCAAGCCATGAAGTGAAAAAAATTGGGAAGGTGAGATTTTCTAGCAATTAATTAGGAAATAAGTAAATAAAACTTCTATAAATAGAAATGTTGTAATCTATTCCAAATTATCCAGCACCAACCACAAAACATGCATTTCAACTAAAATGTTTTCAATTGACTCTACATCATTTTCTATCAATTTCTTTATGGCAATTTTCATTCAAAGAATTTAAGTTCCAGTAGCTTACTCTTCTTTTGCAATGTTTTAAATATGCTTTTTACATTATCAGTCATTTTCGTTCAAGCAAACGGATTCAATGACCAATCTTCGATAAGATTCGTGTCATGTTAATTCGGCCAATTTATTTCTTTCCTTTACTTCCCATGCAATTTCCATTCTGCCTGTTTTAATTATGCACTTTTCAATTAAAAATGTTTTCAAATTTAATCACAATTGATTAAATTCTTGTCATTGAATTTGGTTGGCAATCGATTAAATTCTTGCCACAACTTTTTGTTTTATTGCGTTTTTTTTCAGTCAATTTCCATTTTGCCAATCTTTAATTATGCAATTTTCAATTAAAAATGTTTTCAATTCAATGGCAATTGATTAAATTCTTGTCATTTCCTTTACTGGCAATTGATTAAATTCTTGCCACTGCATTTTGCTTTACTTCATTTTAATTATGCACATTTCAATTCAAATTGTTTTCAATTTAGTGGCAATCGATTGAATTCTTCCCATCCATTTTCATTCAGCCTTTTCATTTAAAAGTCAATTTTCATTCAGCCTGTTCATTCCAATTTCTTTAGTCATTGCATTTTTATTTCTTTTAGCACTTAGATAAAAAGTCTTTGCTACAAACAAGGCATAAAAGAACCTTGCTGGGAATTCTTACTAGTCTCTCTCCCACACAATCGCCTGAGAGTTAGCCATCGGAAAAAAGAATAGGCTGGTGTTCGAATCAACATATTTTGAGTGTTTTTATACAAATACTCTGGCATGCCCGCAACAGACCATCGACCGGCGTAAGACCAAAAACTACGCAAACAGAAGTATTGCAACATACAGTGGGGTTACTAGTGTTCAAACAGTCTCCTATAACATCACCAATCCTCTCATAGATTTCAAGCAACATTATCCTATATATCATCAACCTCTGCTTTTCCTTGCAAATATCAGCCAATTTTAATTTTTTTGCGGATCATTGCTTTTTGCTCCTCATCAATTAGTGACATGATCTTAGTTGCAGTGCGGCTGCTCAGTGTCTCCATTCTACCGGAACTTTCAACTTCAAAATCACAAGTGAAGGGATCGAAAGCGCGAAGCCGAGCCCGAGCCAACGATGTAAGCAAAGCAGCAAACTCGATGAGAGTCCCTTTCTCTGCATAGTGGCCAATGACATCCCGGATCTGCTTTGGTTCCATATGCTGTACCAGAATCTTTATAGTCATCAATGGTTGAGCCTGCCAAAAAGTTTCATTGAAACAAGACAAGTGACCCTTGGAGCAGCATTCCTCTGTTCTAGCCTGACATACTTAAATGTTAATATTCTAGAGAAAACTTACCATTTTCCTCAGACAAAACATGACAATAGATTCTTTGGGTCCAGTCAACAAATCGGCTGAACCAAATACACAAAACCTCAATCAAAACAATAAAATAAACAAATATGGTTCAAAATTTTGTTTTGTGTGTGTCTAGCTCCGCTTGTGTGTCCATAAAATCAATATATATATAGAAAGAGCAACGTTGAGCAGAATAGTGATTTGTAGCTTAGCGAATCAAGAGCTACATCGACCGGAAGAAATTCATCGAACTTGTGCCCATCACAGACGCATTGGACACCAATTCGAGCTCCACGGCGGAGTAAGAAGTAAATAAGTCATACTTGAAGTATTGAGCTGCATCATGCAGGTGATACAATCCATCTTCTCTTCGAACATTAAAATTCCAATTTGGAAAAAATTTTCCTTCAAAATATTTCTCAGTAATAAGATTCTGTGATGTCACAGAACATTCAGAATCGGGTCACGGTGCACAAAATCTATGTTAATCATATCATGAAGAAAAACAATATACAAAGGAATTAGTTTGAATCCGCACCTCTTCATACAGTATAAAAAATTGATCCACCTGACAGTAACAGTATAAAAAAAAAAAAATTGAATTTTTTTCACGCTTGAAACATACAGTGGTAACAAAATAAAATCAAAGAAAAATTTACAAAAAGAAAAAAGTACTATGCAAATTTGTCAGAAATCCAGCACTGTGATGTCAGAGAACATTCAGAATTGGGTCATAGTGCACAAAATCCATGTTTATCGTATCAAAAAAAATAAAAAATAAAAAATAAAAAAAAAGAGGAATTATGCATTCCCACCTCGTCCTCGCTTTCAGACATCATTACAATTCCGTCACAATGAAACATCAACGACTGTGTTAACAGAATAAATTGCGTCAAAAAAGAAAAAGGATTACGCATATTCAACTAACAGGCCATGATACACATTCTTTCATCTGTGATGGACTCGATTTACCCCCAAAATCTAGGGTTTTTTCTTTCTTTCTTCTCTCTACCCATCTGGAAGTTTGACCTAAGGCTTGGGAGTTAGGGTTTCATTACATAAAAGATTTTAATACAGTACCTTTTTTGTGAATTTGAAGATTGCAGCAACGTTCGAGGTTGAAAGAGATCGGCAGTGAGTGCTGTTTTCGACGGTTGAGCAGGTGATCAGTGAGTCGCTAGAGAGAAATGACGCGCAAACGAATGAGGGCAAATTAGACTAACTTCCCTGAGATTTTAGGGTACGTTTGGATAGGGTAGATTTGAAGGGATAGGAAGAGAAAAGAAAAGAGAAGAAAAGAAAAGAAAAGAAAAAGGATATTGAACCCTTGCTGCCGCTAGAAGATTGCTGCGACCTGCAAGGCCCCAGTGACGCATCAAGCCGGCAAATCACGCCGGTGACTGCAAAGCATCGCACCTGCAACTACATGTTCACAGTCCCCCTATCAATTTTGCGTGCGTTTGATCCATGGAGCTCAGGCTGATGTCCGATGTAATGTTGGCAACTCCGAGCATAATGGGTTGCTCCCTCTACATATAGCAGCACTTGAAAGAGTGAGGTATGTATTGTATTTTCTTTTGGTTCTTTTGTGCAGAGATCTGATCAAATATTCTTTTTTTCTTTCATTGTATCCTTATATTTCACTTCTCATCTTTTCTTTTCATACCTTATGTAGCTCTTTCACTGAATGGACTCCTGTGAATTCCATCTTCAAGCTGATCATCATACTTTGCCTTCCTAAAATGGTTCCTTTTTTGCTGAAAATATCATATGTTGGTCGTATTATTGTATACATTATTTTCTATTCTATTTTAAATATGTGAGTTAATCAAACTGCAATACTTCAAAGATTGCTCATTCCTGTATGGTTTACTTGCACGAGTGCCAGAAAGAAGCATTGGAGATGATGGAGTGGGCAGAATCTTATATGTTATTGGTGGAACCATTGATACCACCCAATATATAATACAGCTGTGTGATTTGAACATTGTTTTTATTTGACTCCCTCATCTTCATTTGTACTCTTATATTCCAACGGATAGTGATTTTCAACGCATACAAACCCTATTTCTGGCTGGGGACCTGGAATTGTCTCTAATACCAGACGTGGTTCTGGTAGGACTAGTGAGCTTGTGCACCCCTTGTTTTTGGTTAGGGACGTTACCTGACTCAGATATCATCAGTTAAAATTTGTCTCATTCAGTGTAAATATTATCTGTTTTGCACATTATCTATACATACGATTTTCAAAATGTTCACGGAACATCCCGGGCAATGCGAAATGTGATATTAAGGGAATAAGACCTAATTTTTTTTTATAAAATAATGAATTTCAATAAAATATACTTTGTATATGGTATAAAAATAAAATATATACAAACATAAATATAAATAAATAAATATATTTTGTCACGTCCGGAATCTCAGAGATCTGATTTGAGATAAAAGAAAGACAATTAGATCAAAATTTAATCAAGACATCAAGGGAACAGTACCTAATGATTCCAATCATTTAGAATAGAAATTGAATTCGAGTTGTTATCATGTTAGATTGAGTAGAACCACTCCGTACTATTTCTGTTGTTGCGATATCAGAGTAAGAAAAATTCTCCGTTCGTCAAAATATAGACGCCTGAAAATGATAACAGTACAATTTTGTATTCCCAACGTTTCTTCAGGTGTGGGCCCTAGAGCACTTGTCCTGCCCTCACGATGCCCAGATTGATGCTTGGTTTGATTGGGACATGATCCCCCTTCGGAGGGAGCACTTGTCTGCTATTGATTTGCCCGATAGCTTTGAGAAATAGTATAGGGCTTTTCTTGCTGTTCACATTAGCCAAATATGTTTAGGGCATTGTTTATTATTGAGCAAAATAAGTTCGGGCACTGATTATTCGTGAACTCAATGAAAAAACAAGCTGATGAAGTTTATAAATTTCTATGCTTCCAGCTGCAATAACATATCACACCCATCTGATCATTCTTTCCACGAGATTTCGTTCAGTCAAATCCCCATTCAACACAACCATGTTTTGAGAAAAAAAAAAAAAAAAAAAGTACCCAAACTCCCATCTCCAATTGAGTAACAATGGCACAATCAACTGTGTATTCAAGAACCATAAATCAAAATCCAAAGAGTCACAAAACTTGCATATAGAATGATGCTCAAGAAAAGAGAGAAAATAGAAAGCAACTTCAACATATCACATCCATCTGATCATTCTTTCCACGAGAATTCGTTCAGTCAAATCCCCATTCAACACAACCATGTTTGAGAAAAAAATAAAAAAATAAATAAAATTAAGCAGACATTTCTAATTTTATTCTAGTGTTGCAATGATGATGTCTTTTGGACTCCTTGTTTTTGGCTTGCTGAACTTGTTTATGTGATTCAATAATTGAGAATATTCTTTATCCATACAAATTGCTTGAATTTTTTAAGAAGAAGAAAAGCCATACACCTGTCGTGCTATACAAACTTTGGAGTCTATGGAGGTTCGAGCTTCAATTTTTTTTAAATGCAATTTGGTGATTAAATTTAAGAGTGTGTTTATTAGTAGTAGCAGTTGTGAGGATAAAATCAAAATCACAAAGAAAGTGAAGCGTCAAGTTGTGACGAGAAAATCAAAATCTCAAAGAAAGTGAAGGGTCAAATTATGCATGCTGCTCTCCCTTTGTCCTGTATTAAAAGTTCATCTTTCTATTTTGGTTGTCCCGTAATAGTTGTTCATTTAAAAAATCAATACACTATTTTTTATAACATTCCCAATTTATCCCTAAAAGATAAAACAAATTAAAATCTCAATTCTCAAAATAGGTAAATGGACCTGAACTGACTCTGATACCATTTATCAGGATTCGTCCCACGTTGTGTAGATATTGTCCGTCTATCCCGGATATTGGTTGTTTTACACACTGTCCATACTCACTCACGATTTTCAAAACACATCTACATAATCTAGACTGACTATGAGGCATCCACGTAACCACCTCTCTTCTAGGCAATGTGGGACATGACATTAACTTACACAGTTTTATTCATTGAATACATTTGATAATGTCAAAACTTTGATCTTATATAATGTATCTAATAGATAAGAAATTATTGATTAGGCTTTTTTATTAAACTATTAAGTCTAAATAGTTTAGGATTACAATTTAAAATGTGGAGCCATCAAATGCATAAATTGCCCAAGTGGTCAAAGTAAAAAAAAAACAATAATGGTGTTATTGTGTTCATCACAATCTCATATTAAGTCTATCTGTAGATAGTTAGAACCATAAAGGATGTTGTGACATCATATTAACAGTGTGTTAAATTTATGATTTTCAACATTTATTTATTCCTTCCTACCCTCTATTCGTGGAAATAATACAAAGAGGAGTGTTTTGGACAGTGTCAACAGCATAATTGTTGAGTTGGGCTCCCACAGCATCCACAAATGAGTAGACATTTCAACATTTACACGAGTCATAGCACTAGAAAACTTGTAGCAAGCACATATACCACCACAGCCACTCCGGATTCTTCAGACATACTCTGATAGTCAATCAATATATATATATAAACACACACACACACGCATTGATTGAATGTCTGAAAACATGGCATCCTTAAAAATTCTCCTTGTGGAAATCAAACTTGGTGGTGGTCTTGCGGGAGAAATCCAAAGCCAGTTGCCGGAGCTCGTTGGTTAAGGCTGGTGCTCCGCAATAGAACACTCCTGCAGCATCAAGCCACGAAATTAACAAAACAATGAAAAATTGTTACGAGTAATATTGTTGTGTGTGTGTGTGTGTGTGTGCGTGTGTGTGAGTGTGGTGTGTTTGTGTGGGCATGCATGGTTGACACTCACCAACATGGGAATCAGGATGGTGGAGAGCGATGTTCTTGAAGACTTGGCGCCACTTAGGCTTGGCAAAGTGGGATTTTACGCCGGTGCCAGAGACAATGTCTAGGCCATTCTTGGCATGATATAGAGACTGGAGCATTGCTATGAGGGCCGACCTGGCGTCCCCTTCTTCGTAGACACTGGTGCAGTAGTTGTGCATTTCTATCACTCCCTTGGTGTCCATCTCCGCCACCTCGTCCATGATCCCTTTGAACCACTCGAACGATCCTTGTTCTCTCGTCACCCAGTAGAAGTAGGCTCTCCTGGTCTTGAACCCCTTCTTGTTCATTTTCTTATTATTATTGATATCACCATTCCAACTGTTAGGACTTGAGTTAGGGTTTGCTTTCTTGCCGCTCTCTAGAGCTCCCGTTTCTTTTTCTTCCACTTGTTCCTCATCCAAGTTGAACTTGATGTTGTTGATAATGTCCTTGACAATGCTGATCATTGGGGTTGCTCCGATTCCAAGTCCAACCAGCAAAACCACCTCGTATTTCTTGTAGTCTTGAGCTGGAGCTCCATATGGACCGTCTACCAATATCCTCGGAAAACTGTCCATTCAATTCGATTCAACTTGGTTAAACTCAAATTATCCTAGACCTTCTATTTTGGAAGGTGAGGAAGCCCCCAAAGGGACAAAGTAGGTGTATGTGCTTCTTGTCATTGAAAAAAAAAAATCCCTCAAATTATCCAAGTGGTTAAACTCAAATTAGACTTCCACATTTTTACCAAATGATCTTACCAAGGGTTACTCACTCCTTGTGTTTCATTGCGTAAACCGATGTTCCCTCCATTTGGTGGCTGACGACACACCTATTGATTGATGCAACAAACGAGTGAAATTCAGAGAAAACAGCTAACAGAAAGTGTCCTGAGCATTTGAATCTAATAAAAGTACCAACTAGGGAAAAAAAATCTAAAAGAAGAAAACCTCAGAGAAAACAGTTTTGAGTTGGCGCGTCCAATCGCCTAGTGTTCGAATGTGAACACTTAGATAGTCATCTCCAGGTGCTGAAGTTAGAGAAAATGGATGCCTGCATTTCATAGTTCATACCAAATCCTTATTTAGGATTAAGAGTATAAATTGTTTCGCCTAAATGCAAACTAACAGACGTGACGTAATTAAGCACCTGATTTGACCTAGTTACCTACCATTCAAAAGAAGAAACTGCAGCACAGTTGATGAACACATATTGTCCACTCTTGTATTTGAAGCCGTGGGGCTTTGACGCGTGCAATGTGAGGACATTTCCAGGATAGAAGGCAACCTTCATTACCAAACATTTCAAATTGATAACATAAATGAAGAATTTAAACATTAATAAATTTGAAGGACCTTCATGGTTGATCAAGTGATTGAGAAGAGTACTTTTTACAATTACCTTTAGAATCTTAACTGGTTGGATGCTTGATCTTAAAGCCCTGATCAACCTCTCACCTGCATAGAGTACTAGTGGAACCGCCAAATACATCCATGTCTGCTATCAAAAGATGAAAATGAATTGACAAAATGGACCACGGTGGAAAGCATATCTAACTTTCGGACTAGGAAATTAAGCTCACCGTCTTTTGGTACCATTTCTTGGTGAGGTAGAGGTATATACCATGGACAATGAGGAGGGTGTAGACGACCACAAAAAGATGGTGGGAGTACCAGAAGGCATTGAAGCCAGTGAGTTTTCTGAGGGGTTTGGGGATGTTGAGCTTGTTTCGCCTGAACTTGGGGCTAGCCAGAGTGAACGCTATGGCCATCAGCACCACCATGATTATCCCCGTCACCCCAGCCACTCCTTTCAGAAACCACCAGTAATCTGGAGGTTGCTCGTTGCCAAAGAAAGGTTTCATTGGCTCATACTCTTCCTTAGTTGCATGAAGAAGGCGCGGGAAATCACAGACCAAGTGGGAACCCCCATGTAGTACAGTGCCCACAGTGATTCCTATCGCAATCACCTAAACATCATATTCAAATGATGCATCAACAATTTAGAAATCAGAAACATGTTTTGAGAGTATTATAAAAAACAGTTATGTGAAAACATGAACTTTTTATAACCGAGTTTTCATAAAACTGAACCAAGCTGAGGTTTTGTACCTTGTGAAAATTGAGATTGTCATCAAAAGGAACCACGAGACCCAATTTGGTTCCGTTTCTGAGCCAGGTAATGGTGTTCCGGCAGACTGGTAGTAAGATTAGTGCCATGTTGAATTTAAGGGTCTCAGCTGCTCCTTTAGCAGTACAGACACAATAGCCCATTATTTCATACACAGCCTTATTTTTATACTGCACAAACTTGTACACAAACAAGCTTGACATGATTACTATCCACAATGTCATGACCCAAGCCCTTCGCCAGTTATCATGAAGGAAGTACTTAGTACTCTGCCACCATCTCTTTAATGCGCTTCTCTCTTGTGTTGGCTTGAGCTTCTGGCTCAATACTTGACTTAGAATTTGCCTTTCTGATACTCTGATAGAATGACTCGGAGCTTGCAACAATAGTGTTTCTAGGTTTTCAATCTGTTCAACATCAAATAAATTAACCCAGTATTGAGAACATCAAACAGAGGAATATATACTGCCCAATCCTATAGTGAGATATGTTGCAGGCTTGTTTAATATACCATGATGTATCCGGCATTATCAGGGTCTAGTTCTTCCATTATTAGTGCTGCGTATTCCTTTGCTTGTTTCTGAATGTTAGAGAGTTTGTTTGCAGAAGCGCTGAGACTGATTATCTGCCATACAAGTTAAATTTTAGTATTTTGAACTTTCTAGATCAAAAGCTTTAGATATCAAGTTGTAAGAAAATTAGCAATTGCTACATCCTTCATGGGTTCAAATATAGGAAACAGTCTCTCCACATGCGAGGGTAAGACTAGGTACATCTAAGCCTTCTTAGACCCTGCAACCGGAAAGCCTCGTACACTAAAGTAACCCTTTACATCCTAAAATGGCACGAGTGTAATATCCCCCCAATGCAGGCTGCTGGGAGGGGTTATGGCTTGGTGCATTGATTCCTTCACAATGAATGGGACGAAAAGGGACATTACCCAATTCTAGGTCCCGCTAAAGTTGGTCGAGTGGAGAGAGGATCGAGACTGACTTAACCTTTAGGTTGTGTTTGGTTATATGGAATTGGAGTTTTGGAATTGAAATTGGTGGAATTGGAAAAAAGTCTACTATAAGATTTGATAAATTAAAGTTGATTACCTCTTCGACTTCTTCTTCCATGATTCTGCCATCAGAATCTTTATCTACCCTGCAATTATCATTACCAGTTATTTGTATTATAATAGAGTATTAGGTTTCAACTATTCCAAAAAACCAGATACAGGAAAGGGAACATCAGTAATATGAGAAAATGAGAGTCCTTCAGCAGCTGATAAAATAGTACATGTCAAAGAAAGTCTGGAGACGTGAGTCGAAGCTTTGATCCGAGATTTGTTCCCAGAACTTCCTGAGCTCTGCTTTGTTTATTAAATCCCCACTTATATTGTGCCTCCGAGCAAGTGCATGGAACAGCTCAACGGCAAATTCCTTCGAGTCTTTATTCATCCCTGTCCTTACAAGAACAAGTCAAATAATCACACGCCGGTATGATAAGAAAATAAAAGATAACAAACTATCTCTAAGTCTCGGGTGTTTATAATCATCTACTCTAAAAGTTTAAATTGTTAGAGTGTCTAAATTAAATATTCAAATTTTTTAACATGCTCTCTCATGTGTGGCCTTCTTTTGATCCAAACATGTGTTTTAGTTATAATTATAAAATGACGGTGAGGTATAAGACCTTCCCTCTGACCATCTACTCTGAAAGCATAAATGGTTAGAAAGAATGCAACATTAATTGTGATTCAAATTACCAATGCATTCACCGAACAAAGATGAGGGAAGAAGGGAGCCAGTGGAGGTAGTGAGCTGGTTGAATCGCTTCTCAACCGACTGCCATCCACCAGCACCAGCTGCTTGGTTGGTGATGAACCTGAGACTGTGCAAGGCATGAGCAGCAGCTGACTTGGTGCGATGAAAACGCGAAGCAGCAGCTGCTCGTGATCTTGACAGAGAAGCAAAACGTATCATCTCCTGCGAAGCTTGTCTGATCCGTGAAGAAGCATTTCTCACAATATAAGAACCAAAGGATGTCTTGTTCTGATCAAGAGCACTAGTCTTGGCAAGCAGTGTCAACTCAGGATCTTCACGAGCCTCTGCTTTGACAGCCTCAACACTGTGAACTGCCACTGAGTCCGCACCAATGTCCAGAGTAATCTCCACACTATGATTGTTGTGGCCACTTCTTTTACTGCCATAGGTATCGGTCTCGGAAATGCTGACATGGGCACTGTTTCTGGTTGGTCTGCTGATGTTGAGAGGTGGAAGAGATGGTTTAAAGTGCGTTGGCTTGTCGGGTTCGACCCTGTGTGTGTTTGAGTTGGAGCTGTTACTGGAATAGCTTCTCCACTTCTCATTGCCATCGTTTCTGATCATTATACTGCTTCCTTAGAGAATTCTCACTGGTAAAAAAAAAAAAAAAAAAAAAAAAAAAAAAAAGTGAAAGTGGTTAACATCATAATTATAGAAGAGAACATTTTTTGTAATTCCATAACAAATTTGATACTAAAAAAAATAAAAAAATGAGAGATTGAACTAGTCTATCTCTGTATGTTGCCCAGCAAATTCACTAATTTTCTTATGGAAAAATAGTAAAAAATTCAGATGATTACAAATGCTAAGGTTGTTGCACATCAAGTGGCAAAAGTAGCTATGAAAAGGCCAAAAACTTTAAAAAATTAAAATTAATAAATAAACAAATAAACCGTGCTATATACACCTAATTGATTTAATATCCGTGTTTGAGAATCTGTGTTCGAGTCTCGCACATTCTCTTCCCCTCTAATTACCTTAAAAAAAATTAAATTAAATTAAAAAACAAAACTTATTAGAGATGATTCGGTCCCTTTCACATCGGAAAATATCTGGGTCTGATTATAAAAACCCAATTCTCTGTCGTCATTTTTATCACTCTCTTAAAAATAATAAATAAATAAAGTAAAATTGACATCTACTAAACTTTTAAAAAACTTTAAGACTCCGTTTGTTTGAGCGTTTTGGTGTTTGGTTGTCACAAAATATTTACGAAGAAAAAGAATAATAAAACCTAATAAAAATAATATATTCATTAATTTTCGACAAACTATTTCACATGCTCCACCCGATAGACTCGATCTAAATTTCGACCAAAACATTTGGCAAACACTAAAAATTAAAAATAAATAAAAATATTTTACCTAAAAAAAATATATTTTTCAAAAAAAATATTTTAAGTCAAAACAAACTGAACTAAGATTCCAAATTTTCAAACAATGAATGCGGAATGTGAGAGAGATGCATGCATTAATCTTAGAAGGAGAGAATTGAGAGTGGCAATTACCAATCAAACAAGAAAAAGGAGATGAATAATGAAGATTCACCAAGCTCAATCTGTCTAATTTTCAAAAAGAGTGTTCTTTGATTTATAGACACGTATTCACGTAAACGTAGACCGTAAGGACCTTGTAGGAAGGGTTATAAACGTATTAATACTGCAAAGAGACCATAAAAAAAATGGCGGTCAAAATTAACGGAACTGTAATTTCTCCTCTCTGGCCCATTCTAAACGTCTTCTTATTCTTTTTCTCCAAGCTAGGAAGAATAAGCATACCCTATTTCTGAAGATATAATTAATCCAAGGCATGAATTCTTTGAATCTGCGATGCTTGTTTAATGAATCTTCTGCAATACATTCTTTGACCCGACACCATCATCTTCGACCAATAAAAAACAGACAACTTTTAAATTCCAATTTCATAGCCAAAGACTGTCGGAATAATTTTAAAAGAAAATCCAAAGTCTGTTTTTTCTTAAGGTATTGACTACGCTTGACTTATACCATTGGCCAGCTTTCAGAAGTCTATTTTCCAAGTTTTCCAACTTCAACAAAAATGGCTTGTCAATGGAGCTTTCTAGAGTGAGCTATTGTCAATTTATGGGTTGGTGTTGGGTTGATTGGGAACCGAATTTAAAAGACTATAGGGGATCTTGTTTGGCTGTTTTGGTTGTAGGTACAAGGGCATTGTGGTCATATGTCTTTTTGATAGCATTCTAACCAGCAAGAGCTTTTTACATCCTATAGTTTCGCTCTTTTAGTTCGAAAGAAAGAATCACCAAGACCTGTTTAATTCAAATTTTTTAAATCAGTTTTCAAAATTTTTAAAAATATAAAAAACTGTTTTTAAAGGTTACTACTATAAGAAAACAAATCTTTTTTAGAAATTGTTAGTCGATAAAATAAATTGTTGTACAACTTTTTTATCCTCATTTTCTATCTACGTTTTGCACTAAATTCCTCTTTTTTATTTATTTTGCCAAAAAATTTTACTCAACTATATGAAGTAGGTGATTTAACTAACAAAAGCTAGCTAAAAGGTATTTAGACATTGAATTTTATCATATATTATTTAGACAAAAATTAATGCCTCTATACTTATTTTAATAAACCCCACATATATTATCTACTCCATTATCACTTTTAGCCGCATATCCTCCACCGTTTCAGCAGCAGTCTTCTTCTTACTCAAGTTCTTTTATTTACCCATCATATATAATATGTATCATAATATAATAATGTGACGACCCTGGTTTTTAGGCCAGCGTGCCCTGTGATGAACCGAAGATTGACCCGATAACGGATCCGATAAGCGAAAGCGAACACAGAAAACAAGACTCTAAGAAGTCAAAGTGATATTCCATGAGGTTGTGGAACTCAATGAGAACTGATGCGGAAGCAAAAGGTCAAAAATATGACAAATAAGCCCCCAGGGGCAAAATAGTTATTTTTGAAAAATGTGGATTCGGGTGCCACCGAGTACACCGCTGGAAAGACAGCGAAAAATTAACAAATCTAGACTCAAGAATCACCTGATTCAGAGTCCGGATGAAAAAGATATGGAACTCCAAAGTTTCATAAAAACTAACTTTCGGGTTTCAAAACAGTGCGGCAAGGGGTAAAATAGTCTTTTTAGATAAAATTGGATGCAACTGAGCATACCGATAGATAGACTAGGAAAAATTAATGAATCTAGACTCAAGAATCACTTGATTCGGAGTCCGGATGAAGAAGATATGATACGTCAAAGTTTCAAAAAAACCAACCTTTGAGTTTAAAATCAATGCGGCAAGGGTACTTTACAAAGGGTAAAATAGTCTTTCCAGATATAATTAGATGCAACCGTGAATACCGTTGGATAGACAAGCAAAAACTAATAAACTTAGACTCAAAAATCACTTGATTTGGAGTCGGGACGAAGAAGATATGAAGCCTCAAAGTTTCAAAAAATTAGACTTATTTTCCGGGTAAGAAATCTAGGCAGGAATAGTGTTTTAACAGCAAGCACTAATTAAATTTTTTTTCCAGAACCGAGGCTAAAAACGGACCCTTAAACGAGTTTTTTTGAAAAAAACACGAAGAAGAAACCCCTCTTAAAATCACGTTTTCTACCCGACTATACAGAAGAAACCAAAAAAAATATGATGTAAAGTCTCTAAAATGCCCCTTGAACAACCTAGGTCAAGATAGACCCAAAAAGCTGCTACAAGTATTTTTTTCCAGAAACAGCCAGAACAGAGAGTAAAAATGGGCTAGTAGATGAATTTTTCTGGAAAATATAAAGAAGAAACCCCCCTCAAAATTGAATTTTCTACGTGACTTGCGAGAGAATTAAAAAAAAAAACGCAATGTAGAATGCCCGAAATGCCCCTCCATGAAATCTAGTCATGGAGGTCCAAAAAGCTGCTAAAAAAAAAACTGAAAACTGAACTTTGCGATCGATTTCCGGCACCAAGACGACATTTTCTGGAAAAACATGAAAAAAGAAACCCCCCCTAAAATCACATTTTCTATTCAACTATGTTGAAAGAAGGAAATAAAACTGAATTAAAAAATCTAGAATGCCCCTAGATCAGAATATGCAACAAAAAAACAAAATGAATTCGTAAGAGGCTTAAAACACAAACGATGAGGTTTTGCCAGTAAACGACTATGCACACAAACGTAACTTACCTATTTAGACATGCTACAATGGTCCATAGCTTAAAAATATAGCCGATGCAAAATCCGACCCCCCAACGGGCAAAAAGGCAAAAATGGACTTGGAATGGAAAATATGGAATCCAAAAATGTAAAATAGAGTCAAATGACCATTTGGCCCTTGGCCACACTTCATACAAGATTAATAAGACCCTATGAAAGAATGAAAATAGAATTCTCATACCCGATACAACTATGGTGAAGTAATGACTTGCGATTTTTTAAGATTTTCATAATATTTCATGAAGTTAAAAAGTTGTACATATTACATACGTGGAATCAAAGAATACAAATTTTACATATAAGTCTACAAAATGACATTTCCTGCTAACATTTGCATGAAATGGAAACTTGAAAACTACACGACATCCAAGGAATGCTAGGCATCACGAACCAAGTCTTCGTACCTGAAATATGCCCCAGTATCGTAGGGGTGAGCAACATAAAGTTACTCGTAGGAGATGAGCATGCATCGACTTAGCGTTTTACAAATTTATCACCTTAAGGTGAAACATGTTAAAGGGGTTCATGCCACCTAACGTCTATATCGAAATGAGACTCAGGGAGCATCCTAAGCTACCTTAGAGTGTTTCTAGCATAAATCACATCATCCATGCATTTCAACAACATAGAAACATGTTATACAAAGCAACAAGAATCATGATATACATACATGAATAAAACAAATCAAAGTTGGAGTAATCCGATTAAGACAACGAGTTTATAGTTACCACGGATCACATTATCAATGTAATTGAACAAAGTCTAGAGGAATTCATACAACATGACAAAAGCATATTTGAATACAAGTTAACAAGAATTATATTATCCATACAATTCAACAACAAAAGAGCATGTTATACAATGCGACAAGGTATAAGTTCTCAAAATCATCAACTTAGAATCTGAAGCACAAAATAACAGTAGTGGGTCATGCTACCTAACATCTAAGTTCTAAATAAGTCAATAGGATGATTCCTAAGCTATGTTAGAACGTCAAAACACAATTTTCAATATCGATGTAATTTAATCAACATTGAAACTTCCAATACAACACATAAAGCACAATTTCGCAAAGTTAACATCATGTAACTTAAAATGGAAAGACAAATAAGGAATAACAAGTTACAACATCATCTAGTTATCAACTTGAAAATGAAATGCGAAGTCAACAAAGTGGATACTCGGACGTCACGCCGGATCAGACCGACAATATAGTTACTTTAGGGTTACTAACCCATAGGTAACCTCCCTATGTGCGCTTTAGACTACATAGAGGGACTATCCCCCATACTAGAACCATGTCCTAGCCATAGCCAAACAACGACATCCCCAAGTTTTCAAAATCAACAAGTTGTGCAACAACGCATATATCAACAGGAATATGCAAGATAATTAACTATCTACCAAGCACAACCAAATTTGGAAACCTATACAATACATGCTCTAAGTCCACAACTAATATGATATGATAAATGTCGAATCTTCAGTGTGCGATTCGTTACACGCTATGCATGAATGATGTTAAATATGAAGTGTGCAAATCATTACGCAAGATAACAATATATTCAATATTGAAAACATAAGCTCATGAGTTTAAATACAACAACAAGGTAGAACTTTAATTAAATCATGCTAATTTAAATCCCAAGGTTCTAAAACAATTTCAAATAGTCCCAAATTAATATATATTAGTAAACAAGTCATGGCCAATACAAATATCAAGTTAAAACCTTAATTAAGCTAATAGGACTATAAAATAGATTTTAATTAATTCTTTTAATTAAAATCTCTAAATTTTCAAACTTAACCAAATGCTCTCAAATTAATCTATGTTGGAAAACATGTCAAGGACTAATGTAATATCACATTACAAGTTTATTTCATTCAATTTACGACCATGCGAATTAAACTTTCACTAAAGTTAAACATAAAACAAAAGTTGTAATTCTCATGCAATAAATCCCAATTTAATACATGTGAACAACCATACCAAAACTTAATTTTCTAGCGTGCCACTACAATTCCAAATTGTATATCACCATGAGGATTAAATCTTAAACATGGAATTTAATTAAATAAAAGGTTTCAAAACCTAACCGAATATTCTAAATCAAATATATGTAAAGCTATATGGCATGTAAATCAAGAATATCAAGTCGGAATTCAAATAGAGTGAATAGTGCATTTGGGGCAAATTAATTAATAATTACTAATTTTCAAAACACCTCCAATTACTTTCAAACTCAACTATGTTGGAGAGCATGCTAAGGCCTAATTTAATATGCTAACACATATTGATTTCAAGTTAGTTAAGGCCATGTGAATTAATCTTTCACCTAAGATAAATATTAAATAAAAGCTTTAGTACCTATTTAAATGCTCTAATTTTAATACACGACAATGAGCATATCATGGGGCAATAAAGTATCATGCTACATGTTTAAACCAAGTCACGAGCAACCGGGAAAATTAGATCCCGTACAAGAAAAATAAATAATAAAATCTCTAGATTTCATATTTAATCATACAAGCAAGTAGTATAAGCATCACAAGCATGCTATATAACAAGAATTTAAACCTAGAACATCCCTTACCTCAATTTGAGATGAAAATCTCAAAAGCCATCAAAATGGAACGGCTCCGAATCCGACGAAACTACTAGGTTTTGTCGGGGACAATGCCGTGAACATAACCCCCATGAAAGCCCTATCAAAATCATAACTTGACCTCAAAACCAAACTCAAGAAATGGTCAAAACTGAATTCTAATACGGGGGAAAGGTAGAGTACGGCGAGGAGAATAACAAACGTTAAGGCCGAAGACTTTCCATCAAGGAAAAGTGAACCAAAAGAGGAGAGAGAAGATGGCAGCACCCATTGGGCTGCCATGGGAGCTTCAGGTCGTGCATGAAGAGGGGAGAAGATGAAAAATGAAATATCTCACCCCCCTTTTATAGAAATCTCAAAAAGTGCTCCAAACGGGTCCCGCCGGGTCCGAAAAAGTAAAATTTGAGCAGACACGCTCAAATGGCAAAACTTTGTGAACAAAAAAGATTCAAAATGATAAAATATGAACAACGGAAGAGATGACGTCAAAAACCAAGTCCCGAGCATAAAGTTATGCCCAAAACAAGTTTGGCGAAAACCGGGGCCAAAAACCCTGAAACTGGAAAATATCAATTAGGAGGAAATTCCAAGAGTACACAACTCGACGAAATGTGAAAATGAATCTCGTACGAGAATCCAGGCTCAAAACAAGACATTTTACAATAACTTTCATTAATTGCACAATGGCCCCTCCAAAAAGTGAAAACTGCACTTATGGCCCAGAATGAAAATATCTTCTAAAAATATTTTCTTAAAAACCCTTGAAATAAAATATCTTCAAAAGATATTTACGAAAAACACCCCAAGAAATGAAAAAGATTCTAAAGAATTGTGCATCCATGCCCTTGTGGGCACCGGGAGCAACCAGAGTACTTTCTTGCAAAAGTAAAGATACGTATTTCGAGGAAACCACTCAAGATGAAGGCACGTGAAGTCAAAAACCAACTCCGAGCATGAGAAGTGAGGTTGTGCCAAAAACCGACAAACGGAGATAAAACAGAATAAGGAAAAGGACGAAATAGCGCATAGTGTCGAAAAATGAAAAATGTGAAAATGACTCGATCCTCAAAGGAAGTTGTCAATCCATAGAATAGAGTCTTAGGAACCAATTCCGAGCACTCGAGATGACACTAAGCGACACGAAACAGAGCTCAGAAAAGAAAATTAAACGAAAAAAATTCATTCGTAAAATTTCAGGAAAAAAGAAAGGAAGGCAAATGACCGGGTCGTTACAAATGATATATATAATATATATGTACCTTTAAATATTATTTATACTATATTTACATTTCTATCAGCCTTCAGATCTTATATAAATATGGAATGTTTTTAAAAAAATTTATCTGTTATATAGATATATATATTTAAGAATTATGGTGTACATTAATTTCTTTGGTTTTTATTGATTTCATTTTATACAAATTTGTTAAAGGGACACTATGAGAAATAATACTTTTTTTTTTCTTTTTATTATTATTATTTATGCCTACATGTTTTTCTTTTTCTTTTTTCTTTTTCTTTTTTTATACTTAAAAAAAAAAACTATTTCTTCCATGTGACTAATTCACTTGACAATCTAGTAAAATGATAACATATTAAAAAAAAATATAGAAGTGTTAATTTCTATAAATGATATTGTCTAGTTTATTTAATAATAATAAAAAATTCAAGATACACTCACAAATTAGATTTTCAAATAGGTCTAATGAGTATTTAATTCAATTTCTATTTTAGTTCCCTTTCAACTAATGTTCTTTTGTTAAGTCACTTCCCTTAGATAGTTAAGGGAATTTTTTTGACAAAAATAAATAAATAAAAAGAAAAGTTTAATTCAAAATGCAAATAGAAAAGAGGGTTTAAAAATTGTCGCGAGCTAGCTCATTGGAGTATAAAAATTAAAAATATAGTATCCGTCCATTTAAGTTAATCATATCATCACTTTATTCATATAGTAAAATGATTGTTGTAAAAATGTCATTATTAAAACATTTTAAAATAAAATATAAAAGCTAGTTAAAGATAATTTTTGAGTTTTTTTTTTTGATATTTAAGTTAAATACGGTAAGTTGTAAAGATAGTTAAATTTGAGTTTAATCAAAGAAAAATATTACTACTACAAAATTTTTATAAAAAAAAAAAAAAAAACTTGTGGTATACTTGTAAATGGATTTTAAATTTTAATTTTACACCTCATTATAATTTTTAATAGCAAATTTTCCTGTAAATAGATAGATATTTTATAATTGTTTTACCAAAATTCATAACGAACGGTCACTGTTGCTTGTGGGAATCTCAACTCGCTGCTAGTGGCTACTGCAACCCAAACGTGAGGCCCTCATTTTCTCTCTCTCTCTCTCTCTCTCAATTTAGTCTGCGCCTCTGTTGCCGTATGAACAGCCTTCTTTTCTCTGTTTAATTTCCAGGTTCTTTCCTTCACACAATTTCTTTTTAATGATTCCTATTTTCTCAACTGTGGTTTTACTCTTGGGTTGAACACAGATCACTTTTTTTCTCTTTTATTCTAATCATTTAGGAGAATTATGACTGTGAGGGCTAACACAGTGAGGTGGAAATAGTAAATACTGTTTATAAATGAGATCAAGATGATAAAATGAAGAACCTTTTCATAGAAATTGGATTCTTAGATGCAGTAATCAAGACACTTATAATATTGCAATTAATTTAGTGTTCCATGTGAAGGTAAAGCATATTGAGGTAAGATTGTCATTTTTAATAAATTTGGTAATGCCAAGAACTTCACTGCACTCTTATGTCATGTTTGGAGATCAAAATTTAAAAATTTAAAAGATATGAAAGTGGGCATCAATAATAAATAAATAATTGGATAATACCCTGTTTTGTTTGGTAGGTTTCTGATAATTTATAAACACAAAGGTTTGGCATTTAAAAAAAAAAAAATTAAAAATTACTGGAAAATCCTTCAAACTGAACATGACTTAAAGGCTTAAACTCCAATAGTAAGGAAAAAATAGATGATATGTGAGGAATAACCCTAGAGGTGACAATACTAATTCAGAAACCATGGTTAGCAGGGGAAGCATTTTTAAATTTTCTTTTATCTTGAACAATTTAAATATGTGGCTAGATAATGAACTTTACACTGAACCAATTTTTATCATGGCTCCATGGGTCACTTATCAATGTCATTAGGCTGCTCTACACTTCTTCCTTTTTGAGGAGAGAACGCCCTGTATTAGTGATACATCTCTACGGTGCGCCAAACCGGTGTTTCATTTAGTCTGCCTTTCTTTCTTTTCCTTTTTTTTTTTTTTTTGGTGTGTTGGGGGGGGGGGGGGGAGGAGGGGGGAGGGGAAGTTATAAGAAAACCACCAATTATGCTGAAGATTAGAATTAGTTATAATTGCGACATGTAAACATGCATGCATTTGACCAGTTATTACATTTTTATGGCTTTTTACGGGAACATGATGAACAGCTATCTTAGTTGCTCAACTGGCACCTTGTTCTCAATACATGCTGCCTGACATCCCTTATTTGAACCAAATACTCAGTTTACTCATTCTGGGATATTTTGACTATTTTGGACTTAAATAGTAATCAACAGTCCTTCAACGATGCCGGTTAAATTGGGCTTCGTTTGAGACCCCCAATTTATTCATTCATTCCTATCTAGTGATTGTGCAATATGAGTCCAGTGAATATATATGCTATGTGCACTTATTTCCGTTGCATAATCATCATAAATTTGTTGATTGCACATCTTTTTATTGTTCTGTACAGAAATTTACTAAATTTGATTTATCTTATAAAAACCTCACCAGCTTAACTAACTTGTTAAATCTGTGGTACCATGAATTTGCAGTATATGATGAGTATTCTAGCAAGCCACCCTTGTAATTGGTCTCCAGGAGTTAGAGAGCAGGTTATTAAGGGAAGATTTATTAAGGTTCCATGTTTTGGATATTCAATTCTAGATTTTCCTTCCAAAGAATTGGTTCCTTTTCAAGTTCAACACGTTTTAAGTGGTTGTAATCGAAGTGCTAGGAAATATCATCCAATTTTTTGCAGTACACTTGATGATGGGGGGACCCCAGATGACTCTGAAGATAGTATTGATAAGGATAAAAATTGTGAAGGAGAAACTGGAAAAGTAAGTTGCGTATTCCTTTCACTCAGTTCACCTGTTAAATTCAAATGATCTTGGAGGAAACTCATGGTTTAAGTGAAATATGGCTCATCCATATTGATGTTTGTCTGTAGATATTTGTTCCAAAAAAGGAGAGGAAGAAAATAAAAATAAAAAGAAGAAGAAAAAATAACTCTCATTACAGTTTACCACAATGTACTTGGGCTAACCATTAGATGGGCCATAACCAAAGTTCTTTGTTTCTATTGCTATTCTTATGTTTTTATTTTTGCATTTGTAAACTGAAGACATAAAAAAATTAACTGTCCAACTAGGTTCTGTCATCATCAGGATCACCTCCACCACCATCATCATCATTGGTTGCTTGGGCTTTCTCTTGACATTTGGCATTTTCTTATGTACAACATCCATTAAGAGAGTGTGTTGTGCTTCATTGTATATTTTCCTAGCTTTTTGAGGTTAATAAAATTTATGTTGTGCGCCCAAAAAAAATCCAACTATGAGTTCAATGTTTTAATTCCTTGAAAATGGTAAATCGGTAAACAGGGTGAAGTGCTATGTCCTACCAAAATGGAAGGTTGAGGGTTCAAGTTCCCTTAGAAGCAACAATGGTTGTTTGTTTGTGTAAACTTATCTACCGAAAAACAAACAATTTCATCCAAGGTGCAGCAAAACATTTTGACTTCTCTGATTGATGAACTACATCCAGATTTTGTTCTGTGTTTGTGGGATTGCTCTTCTATTTTGGCATTCTATTCCTGATGTTTAATTCTCTTAGGTAGAAATGCATTTAGCCATTTATATTTTATGCAAGAGTTAATTTGGGAAAAATGGAACTAGTTCTGGTTGAGAGGTGGTTGATACTGAAGACTCAGCATCCACTTCAAATTTCGTGTTGATACTTTGCCAGCATCTTATTTGGGTTTACTGCTTGTTTTGTCCTTCAGAGCCAAAGTGCTCTGGGATTTGGTAGCAGAAATGCTAAAAATTGACAAGGTGAAAGAGGCTCTCTCTCCAAAGGAGGTGGGCACATTATTTAGTTCAAGCTTTTGAGTCTTCCTATATACTTAATATCTTCGTTAACAATCCTAGACTCCTAATTCCAGTGGCCAGGAGGCCTGAGAAAGTATAGAGCAACTGTCTTTGGGTAGTCTTGAAAGGGGAATTGTTTTCAATACCCCGGGGTACCTACTATGTAGTACCCCTGGCCAATGAAAACTCCCCATTTCCCTTGATAATAAGAAATAACAATTCACCATTGTCTGGGGATAATATATTCTTGGTACCCCCAGGGTACCCAATACTTTCTCCTTGGCAAGAATGATAGTTGGGGGGTTAGAAGACAGAGATAATTTAAACAGGCTCTTTTAGGAAATTGGTTGTGGAGATCTGCAAGAGAGTGGGACCAATTGTGGAGGAGATCAATGGGTACTATTGTAGGTGAAAATGGTGTTGCTGGGCTATGATTGAGGTAACATTTTTGGGAAGGCATAAGGGAAGGGGGTGATAAATTCTGCAACCATGTCATATTTTCTTCTGGACCCTGTATGTTTTACTACAGTAAATGAATTTTTCACAATGAAACCATTGAATGGAGCACTGCATAAGCGATGCTAAGCCAGAAAAGGTGGGTTATCGGAGCGGGTTTTGGCATGATAATTGGTGCAGGGTGGTTCCTGTACAGGAATCCTATCAAGATTTTTTAGAATCATGTTTGACAAGGATGCTGTAGGTAGAAATAATTGTAGACTGGTTGGAGATGTTTTGATCTGGGATACTGCTTTGTGCTTTCTGTAGAGTAATCAATAATTGGGAGGTTTTGGTGGCATTATTGGATGCTCTCTACAGTTTGGACGTCTGTGGAAGTGGAGAGAGGATGATATGCAGTAGAAAACTTCCGGATCGGGTAAATTTGAGGAGAAGGCCCCATCATAAGGTGTTGGCAATATCTATTGCTGAGTCTTTGTTCTTGGTAAGATATTGGAGTGTTGAAGTTCCTTCCAAGGTGGTTTTCTTTGTTTAGTCTTCAACTCACATGAAGATTCTAACTGATAACTTGATTGCGAGCAAGTTTTCCTAATTAGGTTTATATTTGTAAAGAGACAGGAATCAATTGATCACCTTTTAGATTGGTTGGAGTGATGGGTCCCATTTCGATGACCAACTTCATAGTTGGAGAGGGAGTAAAGCTAGTTGTGCGTAAAGGAAGACATGGGATGCTGCTCCACTTTATTTGATTTGTCGCATCTTGTAAGAGAAGCATCTTCAATCTTTTGATGCATCGAGGATCCCATTCATTGGAAAGGAGACTCTTGAGTAGGGTATTTTGTTGGGTAACAGGAATGGTGAACCCCTACTTAGAGATTTTTTTGGATTATCTGGACCTGCTGATTCTTTTGTTCGTTTGTAGGGGTTTGTGGTTGTTTCATTGCATACATAGTGTGTTCACAGATTGCCCCCGCTTTTGGCATCCTTTAATTATATTTGTTACATATTGTGAACGATGTAGGCTCTCTTCCAACTGAATTTGAGCTTGGTTCCAATGAGCTAAAACCCTAAATTTTTTCATGTAAGCTAATGAATGATTACTTTTCCCTTCCGTTTTTATGTTGGTAGCAACTAAGTTGGGGAGAGGGCGCGTTGGGTGGCTCTTAATTGGTTTTACGACTTTCGACATGGTAAAGTCACGCTGGGACTTGTTAAATGAAAACATTGCATTAATTGATGTGTTTGCTTGTATGTTTTAAGTTTGTAATTTTATGCAGTTCTATGAACAACGATTACTGGAATAATCATGAATAATCCATCCATCATCCATCTCTTCAAACATATATATTGTGTGGTTCTGATATAAGCAAACCTACTTTACATTTTCCAGGCGAACAGTGAAACGTATAGAGAAAATCTTGAAAGAATTGTTGGTACGGATGACTCTGCATTTAGTGGGATAGACCTGGCAACTCTTATAAGGAACAGATATGGGAGGTCCTATGATGTTCAATTGATAAAAAAGGTATGCTTTCCATGTGTAGTGCATGGCCTGGCATAAGTTTTGGGTTCTGTTCTGTTGAATGACTCCACTTTCCATGGGTTTTGGCACTTTCGGAGAAAGGTCTATATAGTCTGTAGATTTGTCTTCTGTTCATTATTGCCATTGCCTGAAGTGAATTTTGAGACCGTGTTTTGGCACTTGCACATGTTACTTTTGAATGCCCTGTTGTAGGAATTTATGGGGAGAAATCTTCTTGCTTTGAATGTCATGTGGAAGTACATGGAGCAGGTGAGTACTTTTACTGGAAATCTCTGCTTATAGATAGAACTGAACTTTTGTCATTGTGTGATGACAAATATTGTGTTTTAGAAATATGTTTAATGGTCTGAGATTTGTGGAAGAAGATAAAAGCTTAATTTTATTTTTAAATAGCCAATATATGCTATTTTCTGATGTCATTTTGTACTCGATGTTTTACTGCTACTGGAATTGACCGTGGTACTGATGTTTGAATTTCCCATCTAAAGCACATTTGCTCATAATCTTTTCTCTTAGAGATCCTTTCCACTGACTGAGGAAGAGTATCTACTGAGGCTTGACGATGTGGCAAATACATTGAAATGCTGGGGAGCTGTTTCACATATACGGAATAGCCTACAGAAGATGAAAGAAAGGCCTCGGATAGGGAAGGTAAATTTTTTTTTTCATTGGCATAGGGAAGTTAATTTTATTACTGTAGACATTACAACTTTATCTGTCCATATTGGTGGCCTGATTGATGTATAACCTAAATTGTTGCCTCAGGCATATAATCCCTACTTTGTTTAATGGCCAATGGTGTAACAGAAACAAATAAGTAGGTTTCCTCAATTCATTATTTTTAGTGCGATGTCATTTGTTTTAATTTTTTGCCACAGGCAGTCAGCATTTTCATAGACATGGACGAGTCTGGAGGCCGTGCAAATGAATGGATTTACAAGTAGATAGTTCAGACATGCTAGAATTTCTCACAAGTTGGTTAATATGTGACAGCTTATAAAGGAGGAGGAACCTGTGGTTGCAGCAACAACTCTTGCCCCCATTTACCCAAACTGGTTGGGTTTATTCCGGGAAAAGTCCTAATAGCTGATTAACGGTGTTCTAATAGCTGCAATATAAGGACATTGAAGCCATGTTGCCTCGTAAATTCTCTATGTTCTTTTTTGGCCTTTTACAAACCTTCTATAATGGCATGCACGAGCTAACAAAATTTCTGTGAAATATTCATTTGACAAAGCGTCGTGTAAAGAATTGATCTGTTTCGATTCTTAATACTCTCTGTAATCTAATACAGGATGATATTCATGTTCATATACTACTTTCCTTTCCTTTTTTTCAATTATATATATACAAGGATGTAGTTTTCTTTAGATGCATACTTATCAATCAATATATATATATATATATTCTTTAGATGCAAGTGCATGAAGTTTTCTGCATTAGTTTTATAGGCTTGGACAGGTTGTCTGAATTTGTTATGAGATAATTAGTTTGAATGAATGTGTAGCTTTCTTTGTGGGAATTTGGCTGAAGAAAAGGATAAATCTTTGGAGAATATAGAGAAATCGGGTGAAATTTGGCAAATCTGAACTACATTTCCTTCTTCACATCTCCCTCTCCATCCATTTGATATGTAATTGCATATTAGTAAATTTAGAAATTTCAAAATGAGATTAGCATCATGTGAATCACTAAAGGCCTGATAATAAGAAATGAGTAAGGGGGTTCTATAATCCCATACTTCTGATACTCAATATCTGTTTCTAAATAGAGGGTCGAGGGTTAAAGTTCACGGAGCCAATTAGGTGCGGAAAAAAAAAAAAAAAAAAAAATGTTTTAAGTATGGGTGGGGGCATAGACGGGGCCAGGCATTTGAGCCCAACTAGACTGTAGAGCATTAAAGTTGAATACAAGAGGGGACGCAGATTTGAAGATAATTTCTACGGTAAAGGGAAATATAAATAGAGAGAGAGAGAGAGACCATTGGACAGATATGATTATACTGAAAAAATTGGTATGTCGTGGTCATCCAAGTGCCATCCAGTCTTGAAGATAAGGTTCCATGTGTGATTAGCATCCCAGTGCTAGATATATATATATATATATATATATCTATATATATAGAGAGAGAGAGAGAGAGAGAGAGAGAGAGATGGCAGAGACTGGATATTGCTGGATGTCAGCAAGAAACATGAGCCCCATCAGCAGTAGAAGAAGTCCATACTCAGTCCATTACATGCTACGCCCAACCTCCAAAATCAGAGCTTCTATCAGAAGAAATGATTTCTCACTGGTAATGCCAATTAAACACTGTATTTCTTCTTGCCAATTATATCCCATTTATATATAAATTGTGCGTGTGTATTTGTGAGACTGAGCTTCAATTACGTATTAATTGGATAAGGTAGATAACCACGAAAAAGACTAGTACTAGTCATAATAAGGCAGCTTCACGACCTCTAATCACCATATCAAATGGAAGATGGGATGACAAATGGAGCCGTCACTACACTTTCTCTCTTCAACAACTTCACCTGGACGACTTGGTTGAAGACGGCCATGAGGATGATGCACAGGTCTCCATCAACCTATGCATTCACAAGGTATTATTATCTATCCTATATATCTATGCATGAGAAATCTCCAACTTACTTCAATTACTAACATATACATACACACATATATATATATTTATATATATATATATATGATTTGAGCAGCACGCGAGCTTTGGCCTCTCGGTGGAAGGAAGGATCGTCACATCTTTCACCAGAAAATGTAGAAACTGCTCTTCCCCATACTGCAGAGAGGTATTAATTAATTATTAATTATTATTATTATTATTTTTTAATTGGTACTCATACATATGCCTCACACATGCTCGAAATTCCTGACCTTTATTTAAAAAGTAGGAACTTGATATCACTGTGCCATGATTTCGGGTTGTTAAATTAAATGAAGAAGAAAGAAAAATCGGTTAATTAATTGTTTTTTAAATTGCTCAAAAATATGCAACTGGGCTACACAAATCTGTAGAATTATATATATACTCATTTGTTAACATCAAAAGTGCATCACTCTGCAGATTGATGCAAACTTCAATGTTTGGGTTCTTCCATCAAGCAGACGCAGCAGCTCAACTCAGCTACCTGAAATCGGTGGCGATGATCCATCATTAAGTCTCTAAACTCTCTCTCTATCTCACACACACATACACACACGAACACGGGCAGAGAGAGAAGAGATCTAACATTGCTGGTTTTGCAGGTGATATATGTGAGACCAGGATATGAAGCTGCTGAACTTGATTCACTTGTGCAAGACACACTTAGGCTCAAAGCCTCAGTAAAAGTATATATATATATATATTATATGCAATTAATTAATTAGGTAGAATGTGTACTGATGAACTGATTTTGCATTTGCAGGACACTTGCTCAGAGTCATGTGAGAAATCTGAACCTAAGTTGGAGTGTAAGGGCTTATCACAATTATGTAAATTATGTAAAAATTGGATAAAAACCGAAGTAGTTAACACCCAATTTTGATTTGCAGATATTGGTCAACAGAAAGCTGCTTCTATTGATAGAAGGTGGTCAAGACTATTGGAGCTAAGGAATTCATGTCAATAATAATAATTGTTAAACATTCCAATATTTCCTTAGGTGTGCATGGTAGGGTGTTGATAAAATAAGTTAGCCTTAGTATACCAAACCGTCGTCATTAATTACATATTTGAACATAGAATTAGCAGACAGTTTTTTTCCTTTCAGAGTCGAGCTTATGTTTTCAGAATTGCAGAGCCAAGCACTTAACAGTTGAACCAAGAAGTTGACAGATTCAATCTCGACAGGATTTATTCAATTAAGCTTCTCTTTCTCGATTTTCTGCAAGGATTGCTATAAATTTTTTTATGCTGCAACTATTGGATCTGGGTGTTCTGATTCCACTTTGGTGATTTTACTCTGGCACCAAATTTAATTAGATAAAATTGATTCTTATTTGAATAGTCCAATTGCTTGGTGCATGTGAGACGGAATATCGTAGATTTAAAATAAATAAATACAGTAAAACCAGTTGAATTCCAGACCTAGATGAATGGTGAATTGGTTTTGTCCACTTTTTTTAACTTGAATTTATCTACTTATAAATTGAAATAACATACACAAAACATGCAAGTAAAATAAAAGTTATGAGGTAAATCAATAACTGACATCCATTTTTGTTATTTTTCATGAGCACCCACTGGGGAGCTATGCACCCTACCAACTAGACCGATTTTAATGAACAAGCGCGGTGGTGGAGGTACTGGATCAGAAAAAAGAGGAATTCTAGTTGGAAGATATCTAATGAAACCGTCCTGGAACTGAGATCTTATTCAAAGAGGATATCAAATATCTTCCGATGCGCATGATTGGGAATTGTCTGATCGTCTATCTAAGCCCCCATCCAATACATAATTTGACAACGTTTGTGGCGTGCATAAGGTTCACGAAGCCATAAAGGGTGATCACAATAATCATAGAAAGGAAAGAGACCCACCCACACTTGGCTTCATTTCGGAGTTCATAGAGAAAAATCATTGAACAAAAATGAGAACCATAAATTTTCATTTTATCGTTTCAGTCCAACTCAGAAAATGAGGTCGAACTGTAAAACAGAAAACAGCAAAACTAAGCCAATATTTCATTCACCAAAGGACTAAACACTCACTTCCACAAATTTAATGAAATTATCAGGATACTTTTAACAGTAATCTTGTTTCAATGCCAGCGGCAGCTGCTTCAACACGTGCTGATGGCACAACAGAACGTTATCCAAATTGCAAGTGAATGACCTCTCATCGTTAACCAAGAATATGCAGCCCATAGTCAACACAAAACAAGGAAGCTCAATACTCCAATCGACACCAACTGATAATTTTCTCACCCGAACTCAGATTTCGATTGGTTTTCATCCTTTGGATCCCCCAAAAGAAAATCTAAGGTGTTTATTTCACATGGATGCATGTATAAGCTGCTGTTACTGTCCACAGGACGGTTGTCAACTCCAACTAGATTCAAAACTGCTGTTGACGCCAACTTCTAAAACCCAGATACCAGGACCCACTCCTATCTAGTTCTTCAAAGCAATGAATTTAAGTCACCTCCATGGCCAATAGAATTGTTTCGTATTGCCATTGCTCAAGTTCCAAGCTCCTTCGGCAATCTCACCAAATAGTTGGTCCCAACCCCAACTCGTATACCCCAAGAAAAACCAGTAGTCAGTAACAGATTGGTTTCCTGATTTGAGCCTTTCTATTTCCTGAACGGTGGCCCGTTGATCAAGAAAATAAACATCGGGAAAGACTTCCACGTGTTGTTTTTTAATTAATCTACGAGTTAATGCAACAAGAGGCATTCCTCCTATTACCATGGGACCCCCAAAGGACAAAGGAGCTTCTTTTAGCAGCTCTAAACCTCCCTCAAGTTCATTAAGAGAGTCCCAATTGATGTGCTTGTTAAAAATGAGACCTTGAAATCCTGTACCTTGATCTGCCTTCACAATGAGAATTTTCGATTCATCAAAAGGGTGTACATTGAGGAGCTTGTCTGTTGCTAGAAGGATGGAACCAACCACCACTTGAGAAGCTGTTTCGTGTAGGCCATTTGGTGTGTGTGATCTTATCCGGTTGTATCTACCTGCTATTTTTGGTGCCCTGTTTTTCAGTAGAACTTCATGGTATTTGTCCCTTGTCAAAGAAGCTTCCTCATGAACTGCAGTTTGTAATCCATCTTTACATAGATTCTGGTTCCTGCTTCCTTGTCCTACTCCAGTCCATAGAATTCCTACCAAAAATGCAAAGAATATTTATACAAGAGAAACACCAAATCAACCAATCTACCAAGGGTTACAAAAAAGGATGTACTTAAATATGCATCATGTGGAAATAAGACATCAGTTTCCACATGATATACTTTTTAAAAAATTTATTGTAAGAAACAACTTTTTGATTACTTCATGTCAATATATTGATTCAAATCTTAAAGAAACAAATGCATCATATATAACTATTATTACACAAAAGACAAACTATTAGTGAAAAGAAGCAGCCCAAATGATAATGCTGCAACTGGATTGAACGTCAATTTAGTTCTCTTCACTCAGGAACAAAACGATGGCAGATGGAGAAATAAATACAAGGATTGGAATGTGGAAATGTAACTGTGCAAAAGTTTATTCTCAGTTATCAACATTTAGAAAAAAAAAATCTGAATTGTAATGTGGAAGCAGAATATACATTCCACTGTAGACATTAAGGCCTAATGAGGAGTAGGATGCATATAAAGAGTATGTCCTGAAGGGCGATGAAATTCTACTCCACCCTTGAGTGATAAAACTGGGTTTCTTGCTCATGCAGAATTTGATAACGTTTTTGATGATGCGATCACATTTTCCAGCACAGCTTCACCCTTTTCTTCAAGGTCATTTTATTGTCTCATTAGCCACTATCATACTTTATTATCAAAATATTCTGCCTACAAGTTGCAAATTAGATCTTATCTAAGACAAAAATAAACCGTATTCAGGTGGCAACAAAAATGAAGGTGACAAGAAAACTAGACAGCCAATAACACAGATATTACAGATATATACGATGTATGTGTTACTAAAGCTAGTTCCCAGCATTCAACATTGTGATTGAACCAGAATCCCACCATTTCATCTTCCTATTGAACAGCCTGTTCCCCAGTGATACAAGGCTGTCAATTTTCCCCATTTGGAATCATACGTGAGAGTTCCCTACCTTATTATTATTATTTTTTTGATAAGTAATAAGAAAATAAAAGGCATTCAAGAGGGGAATGCGTCCCTTATACAAAAGTGGAACCGGGGTCTGGGGCCCCAAGGAATCCAAAAAAATGATTAAATCATCAGAAGAGGAACAGGACTTCCTCTTCACGTAACTGAAAAGAGAGCGAATGATATGAAGTTTCAGCGTCGCCGTGGACAACTCTTTCCCTTTGAACATTCTACTATTCCTCTCCTTCCATATGCACCACCAGACACAATGTGGGACAACTCTCCAATAATCGCGTACACAACTTCTCACACATGAGAGTTCCCTACCTCATTTATATATTAAGTGCGCGTGCAAACACATGCACATTCGTATATATAGCAAATGGATCAGAGCAACTCTCCCTGCTCTTTGGGGACTCTTCCAAACTGTTTTGATCTTTTGCTGGAAATGAATGCAGAAATTCCCACTTCTCTATTTTTCTGAAAATATTACACCTGAACCCTCATTCTAAATAGTGATGTGCATCAACAATTGGTCCTCTTTGGAAAAGTATACTACAAGGTTTTTCTTTTTTCTTTTTCTTTTTGATAATTAATCATATCAAAACAATTTTTGAGGAACATTTTCACAATAAATTAGTCAACCTTATTTACCAGTGACCTATCAATTTAGAGTAGGTTTTCACTTAAATTTTCTAATGTCATCATGACCAAAAAGATCTGGAGAAATCTACAAAAGTACCAACGAATTTGGAGAATTAGCTGATTTTGCTAATGTCAATTCATTGATGAAATGCAATTCTATAAAGAGGCATCCCCACTTCAGCTAAAACGCAGAAATATTAAGAGAAACTTTGATGATGCTTTTCTTGTAAATTTGCAATTTCTACTAAGAAGCAAAAAAAAACCTTTGTGCTAGCTAGAAAGCAGATATAAGAACAGAATAAGCATTCCAGAGGTGCACAGTAAAGAGGATGGAACAATTCCCATAGAGAGGATAGGTGTGACAAAGGAAATGGATTTCTTTGAAACATAATGAAAGTAAATGGACAAATGGACAACAACAACCATTATTTGGAAGTTAGAACGAATAACAATCAACAAAACATTTACACAGATATGAGGTGCATCATATACGTGGTTCAATGCAAACAAATTCTGCAAAAACAGGATACAAATATGGCAGACACGACAAGAAATATATTGTTTAAATTATAATCAATCATAGAAACGATTTTTTATCATTAGATCATGGACTTGTGATATGATAAACAATTATTTTCATGGATCTCTAAAGATGAGCCATGATGCACTCAATTACAGATTTGATTTTTATTCTTTCATATTTGCCTGAGAAAACTAAAAATATGTTGCAAGATAGGGATGGCAATGGTTGGGTTTGTACCAGACACCCCTTAGGCAAACACAATTCACAATAATCATCCTGACCCCAAGACGAGGCAGGATAGTACATTGCTTCTCACATGAGAGGCCAGTTTCCACATCAGGAAATTTTATTTTATTTAATTTTAAAAGATACAAGGTACCTATAAGCGGTTACCTAAAAGAAACAAGAAATTCATATTGCTGAATGAGAATGTTGAGATGGATAACACGAGTAAATTGAAGAGATAAGATTAGTGATCACCCAGTTGGAGAAAGATTAAGTGTGACACCTATTAATGACAAAAATAAGAAAGTAGGCTTCGATGGTAAGGTCATATACAACGCAGACCAGACTATGCACAAAGAAAGAAACGCTAGTTAAAGTAGATGATGCAAGGCAAAGAGATAGACCAAAATTAACTTGAAGTTATAAATAAAATACCTTTTAAAACTAGATATAATAACAGACAAGGATTATAATCATAGTTGTTAAACGTTCAAGACGCGCTAAGGCGCCAAAGGTCTTATGGAGCTTAAGCGCAAGACACAATATAAGGCACGAGCCTAATCAAAGTAAGGCGCTTGTCTGATAATAATGCATATTATTAAGTGTGCAACACAAACTTGTCAATATCAAAATAAGGATTTTTTTTCAGCATATCAATTTAATGGATTAGCTAAATCAACATACATATATCTTTTCTATTTGCATATGAATTCAATTAATGTACACATTTGGAACAGTTCAAGATATGCCACACAAATAATATACAATTCTCTAAAAATTGCCTTTATATGCTCAAAAATCCTTTCATGTGCATATGCATTAACAAAATTAAATGTGATTACAAAATTTGAAACAATAAAAAACTATAATCATGCAAGTTTTATACATACATTATCATATATATTCAGAATCAAGCTATGATAAATAACATTTCAATTTACTATTCATTAAATAAAAAACAAAATGATATGAATAAATGATTAAAAAATAAAAGGCCCGCCTTTTTTAAGGCTGGAGCCTACTAAAAAGCAGGAGCCTGAGGACTTTATGTGAGCCTGGTTGAAGGGGTCTGGCCTATACTAGGTTGAAGCGCTCTAGCTGAGCCTTAATGAGCTTGGAGCTTTTTTGGAGCCTAGGCATGCCTTTAATGACATGATTATAATAGATAGAAAATAATGAAAAACGAGAATTAATGTGGCTAACCCTGTTCAAATGGAACCAAGGCAAGGATGATGACGAGGAGAAGACAAGTGACGGCCCAGGTTAACTCGAATTGCCGCATAGATTTAGGACTGGCAACACTTGCTCAACTACAAGACCTAATAACATTAAGGTTGTAAACTAAGAAGCACGGACTCTTCTATGAAGGTGTCGTGTCTGACACCAACACTTCATGGATGCTCTTAGACACAAATCCGACACTTGATGGCCATATCCATAATTTAAAAATAATTTTTATTATTTCGGACACCTGGCCGACGCATCTTGGACCCTTGGTCAACACATTCCGGACACTAGACCAACACATCCCACAATCTTTGTTGTATATAAAACAAACACAGGACAATCCTGAAAACAACATTATGAGCATACCAACCTCTTTTTCTTTAAAAAATTAACATTTAAGACATGTTGTATGTAATGAATAAAAACATAATTATAATGACATGATAGGACAATAATATAATAAATAATATAACATATTATTTTTTATATTCAAGTAGTTTCATCTTCTAACTTATTTTTTTCCCTATATGAGATTGTTTCATTGGATTTCATCTTCTAACTTAAGAAACTTTAGTATCAAAATTATAAATTAATTAAAGTTCTATAATTGCCTAACTTAATAGATATATAAATGGAATTTTATGTTTATATTAGCCATGTCCACGGTCTATAAAAATTAAAAAGAATAGACATGTAAATGGAAATTTATATTTATTTTCAACCTCGTTTTTTGGAATTTGATGTATGGACGTATCCGTGTTGTATAGTCTCTGTGTCCCATGTCCATATCCATGCTTCTTAGGTTGCAAATTAGGTATTTTTTGGAGGCATGGGGAGAGATCTTTTATGGAAGCCTTAAAGCCTCAACTTTACTGAATTGATCGATGTGGGACAAAGAATGTGTTTTACATTAAACTCTTAAGCCACAAATGTGACATAGTTTGAGTATGGAAATATTATTATAAGTGAAAACAGCATCAAGTGTCATTATTTGCAAAATTAGAGTTGACCAAGGACATTTATAAATTAAACAAAAAAAAAAAAAGGAGCAGCTCGAATCGTATATAGCCATCTAATTCCACAACTAATTCAATTTTATGTGGATGCGTAATGCATACAGTGGATCATTTTGAGAAGAAACAAGGAGAGGAGTTCAACTGCCTAAAGGAATTCAATGATTTAAAAAAGCTTACCACTTTCCTTGACAAGACTATGAGAATTACTTCCATGATCAGCTATAAACTTGACAATATCCAATACTGCAATATCTCCTTCATAAGAGACAGCATTCTTCCTTTCTGCTGGAAATAACAGCAGAGATGGATAGACTTCCCTCTGTAAATTTCAAGCACATCAAAAGAAACAAAATAAACAACCCATGCATAACTTCAACAGAATAGGTCATATTCCCATGTTTGTATTTTGAAAAGAAAAAAGAGGACATGGATGAAAGAAAAATTATTCCAGTTTTATTTGAACGGCTGGGCTCTGACCAAAACTATAGATATACAATGAGTAATTAAGGGACTTTTTAGTTGTTTATTTGTTTTTATTTCCCAGATTCTTTAATATATACATATACATATATATATATATGTCATATATATATGACATATATATATATACATATATATATATATGTCATATATATATGCACTTATATATATATACATATATATATATGCACTTATATATATATACATATATATATATGCACTTATATATATATGCACTTATATATATGCACTTATATATATATGCACTTATATATATGACATAATGTGCACTTGTTGCTCGCATTATTGTTGTAGAAATTTGAATTATGTTTTATCCACTCATTTCACAATATGATTCGAGCATTAGATATAAAAACAAAAAGCAGGTAAGTTCATTTTAAATTTTCAAGTCATAACTGGAGTGGCAAAAGCGAGGACCAATTTAATTAAATCACTGCCGCTAATATCAAGCAAATTAATGATCCAGCTATACATTAGGGAGAGGTTTTTGAGCACCATCTAATCTCAACCATTTCCCATTTTTACAAAAATTGTAAAGAGAGCAATCAAATGCTATAAGATACCTTTAATAATTAATAATTGTGGGAGATTATCATGTATTACCTTTTTTCTGCAATTATAATTAGTGATAATCTGTTTTAACTTCCTACGTGAAAAAGGAAGAGAAGATATACCTTCTCAGAAATATTCCAAAATTTTCATAAGCAATAAATTTATCTTAATTATGCTAAACAGACTTTGAGACAAAAAACAAAAGACAAAGCCTAACTTAAAATATTAGTGAAATAGGCAACTAATTCTTGATTAGTTTTTTTTTTTTTCCTTAATTAATTCTTGATTAGTTAAAAGTATCATTATTCAAAACATGACATATGTGAGACTATTATGAAATTTTCTTTCACACGTGTCTATATTCCTATAGGTATGTTTTTATTCTAATTGTTGATAACAAAAGCAGAAATTTTGCAAAACCGTTAACTAGTAAATAATAGAATTAAAATTATTTATCATGGAACCGAGTCAGCTCCTACAAAAATTATCAGTTGTTAGAACTCTTAAGTTACTAAATATTAATTCTTAGAAGGTGGACTGTATTATTGATCATGCCAGCATAACAAATCAAAAGATGAGATACATATAACCAAACTAGTCTAATACAAATATTTACCGTTATCACTGATACAAACATGTTAAAAAAAAAAAAATTAGTCTAATACAAATAAGTAACATCTGTAAATATTATACAAGAAGTTAGATGTAGACTCTGCGAGTCATACCTGAGCCATTGCTTTTAGGATCAAACTGCAGTCATTCAGTGTGCAGTCCATAAAGTAAATCAGCGGAAGCGTCAATATGTTATCCTTTAAGTCATCTGTCAAAAATTAAAACACTTATTAAAACATGAAGGTTTATAGAATAATATCACTTCAATTGAACAATATCACATCATCCTATAGTTAATTAACTTTAAGAAAAATAACTTGCTTTGTTAATTTACTTCTGTGCGCGTGTATGGCAGCGTGCCTGTCTGTGGTAGAACATAAAAAATGGGGGGGGGGGGGGAGGATTTTCTGCACCATTTAATGTGATATAAGTGCAGAAAGATCAAAAAACTTAAAATGAAGATAAACCATTTCCCCTGTTGTTAACTTCATAAAACCTGGCTAGTTTGTGCTATTTTATTCTATTATTCTGTGATGCCCGGCCATCCCATCCTCCGCGTGTGGGTGTTCGGGTGTCAGGGACGGAGCTGGAGCGGAGCAAGGTCCCCCCAAAAAATTCAAATTTCTTCTTATGCCCCCCAAAAAGTTGTTATGTTATACAAATACCCCTACTTGTGACCCCTAAAATTCATTTTTTTTTTTAAATTAATTGGCCCCCCAAAATTTTTCAAAACACTTATTTATTGCCCCAATAATTATGAATTCAGAAATAAATATAACTTGTGTCATCTCAAAACTCTTATACAAATTTAATATGGACCTTTTTAGCCTAATTTTGAAAAACAAAATCTTGTAAAATAAAAATATAAGTTCATTGTTGTACATTTTACTGCAATATATCATTGTTTTATTTACATTTACATATACACAAGTATAATATCTATTTATTATATGAATTAAAGAGAGAGAAGAAAAAATTACTCTAATATCTTATTGTATTTAATAAAAATACATGAACCTTCTTTGCCAGTCTATTTTGTGAGAAGTAGTAAAAATTAAAATATTGTGATATCAAGACGACAAAAATGCCAACAACAATAATATTATCATATATGCTAATATTTTTAGTTGTCACATGTTAGATGACAAACTCTATAATTACTCCTTGTACAAATTAATAAAGCACTTATCTATTTTGTTCTTGCTAATTCTGGTTGTTAAATTTTGTTTAGTTAAACGTTATATTTTTTCTCTTAGTATTTCATCAAGGTTATAATGACATATATTTCTCAAAGTGAAATCAAAGTAATAAAAAAAAAATTCCAAAATTAAAACAATTGTTGAATAAAATTTAACTCTTGAACAATATTTTTTTTATTTACAACTTCTTTTGCATGTAACTTATCACTTCCTGTTCCCTAATTTTTTTTTTTTTTTTTTTTTTTTTTTTTTTTTTTTTTTTTTTCATATCAGTTCTCATAACTACTAATTTAGGTTTTTTAAGTTTTTGGATTGTATTTTCCTCAATATAAAGAAAATTATATTTCAATTGATTTATACACTTTTTAATTTTTAATTACATAGTACTAGTTCGGTCTCCATATCCACAATGACGGGAATCTTGTGCATTAAACTAGCCCCTTTTTTTATTCCCCCCCCCCCCCCCCCAAATTAAAATTTCTGCGTCCACCTCTGTCGGGTGTAATTAAGGTTCACATAGATGGAGAAGCATTAAGAAGAAAAATACACCATTTTGAATCCTAAGTCAGACTCCACTTTCCCAGTCTATATTATTACTTCGTTCACAACTTGGTTTCCATCCCTCGAGTCAAATAGAGATGCATATTAACCATAATATCCCTAAAAGAAATCTGAAAAAATAAAGGAGCTGGGTATTCACAGTCACCTTCTTAGGGTTCTTGAACATCCCCTTGAATTTGAATGGTTTGCCATTGAGGTAAAAATTATCACATAAATGGGGAATTAAGAAAATAGAAGACATCAGAATATTTCCAGATACGTAAAAATGGAACCGTACCAATTTTCACTGGACATCCAACACCACCTTAATATATATTAAACTCCAAAAGTTGATCCAATTGAACTTTTAAAACCTGTTGAACTTCCATTAAGTTCCAAAATCTTCCATGAATGGCCTCCAGTTCAGCATGGACAGCCAAAATAGAGATTTTTAACCTAGACCGTGTGTTTTATTTGGAGGTGCATGCAAAATAAAAAATTTCTAAGTGCTGTCCAATTGTCACAACTCAACATTCACAACAAATGGATGACAAGTCTTCTGTGGCAGTTACTTTTACAGTAAATCAATCGAAATAGTTCCCTAGAAGGTTTAAAGACAAATTCTCCATATGAAGCAATAGAAAATGCTTCATTGGAAATGCAAATATATGCAAAGGGATAATTTTTTTGAATTATAACATGAGACTTGATGCATTTTTATCACTTACCACTGCTAAACATAGACTTTTGGTTCCTAGATTCTTTTTTCAGCATGTTCGCATAGCCTTTGACCGCCTGGTATACTTCACGAACTATCAGCTCCATCCTTTGGCAGAACCCGCACCAACTGTTGCTGAAAAGGACCAAGACATCCTTCTTCCAAGCATGAGCGACGTGTGTACCATCAGACTCATTAAAACCGAGAACCATCTGAGAAAATGTATGGGTGGTGACCCGAGGGATAGAATCCACCTCATGAAAATCCAGATTAACAAACGGTGGACTTGGAGCCTCCCTAGGCCTCAGAACAACAGACTCGGATTGTTGATATGGCAGAAGACTTCTATTCTGAAACCCATCAAGAAAATCACATAGGGAAGAATAGCTGAAAACAGTCTCTTCAGGAAAGACATAATGTTGTTGTAATACAGGATCAACAATAACCACCGACGGAATCTTTGACCCGGCAGTTAGAGATTTAAGTAAACGATATCCACCATCAAAAAAGAAAAAGGGAAACCTAACACCTTTTGTGAGAAGCTCCTGTTCCTCTGACTTCTCTACCTGTGAAGAGGTTTGCTTTTCAGCCTTCTCATCTTCAGCACTATCAAGTACTTGATTTCTATTATACTGGCCAGGCTCTACAGGGAACTCTGTGCCTGTATCAAAAGCTTTCATCTCATCATTATACTGAGAAGTCTCATCAACATTAGGTTTGGGTTGTTCCTCGTGCTCCCCAGTAGATGTACCGGCCATATCCAATATCTGATCCTTGCCCAAATCAACATTGCTTTTAAGGCAACTTTCCATGGGAAGTTGTGCTGATGCTTGATTAGACTGAACTACTTCTGTTGGTGCCGGTAAAGCTTCTGGTATTTTGATGTCAAAATCATCAGATAAAAGTTGGAAGCCTACCTCTTTTGCAAGTAAGCTTAATTTTACTTCCTTCTTACGCTGAAGAACATGAGCCAAGATGTCATGCAAGGAACTACCATGTAAATCTGAAGCAATATTATCTAAACTGACATGTTTTTCCCCATTTATAATCATGACAGAAATCTTATCCTCAAGTGTTATTTTTTGAGATGTAAGAGGTTCTACTTTTTTATGTCCAGATGTACGCCTTGATGCTTGATAAGCTTCAATTAACAATTTCAGCGGCTTGGAATTGTTTGATCCAGCCATCTGATGTGAAGTCAGATAGTCCAGTGCTAAGTCTCTGAAAGAACCAAGAGCCTCCTTGCTATTTCTTGTAGTTTCTAATGAGTCAGATGATCTATCAATAAAAAGAAGTATTGATGGCTTATCTGCAGGTAAAGAAGGTTCAAGATCATGTCCATCATCTTCCAGCTACATGATATTGAAAACACATCCATGATCAGTACAAGGGATCAACATGCTTCCATAACACCAACAGCAGCAAAACAAAAACTTAGTGAGGGTATGGATTTCCACATGAAGTTTAATAAATGACACTGATTATATAATGTCAACACAATGTAGTGCATGAAACAAATATATCCCCCACCTAGGTTGATGCACAACCTCTAAACCCAAACATACTTTGACTGTGATTTGATGTTGATTTTGTTATAAATGTAAAAAACAGATGTAGCATGCAAAAACATATAAAAGATAAAATAGTGTAAATATTCCGAAAAAAAAGACCAAAAAAAATGTATATGTATATTTGAAGAATTTGCAGAGAGATTACATGATGATTCTAGAATAAAAAAATGCTGTCAACATGGCTTGACCCCCATGTCTCGTGCCTGGATCACAACATGAGTGTAGTGCAAATCCTACAAAGAATTATCACAATACGACTAACTGAACAATAACAATGGATAATTGGACTATTCCACCCAAGGAATTTGGCAATAGCCACTTTACAGTAATTGGACAAGGAAAGATATCAAAGGTGTAAACTTATGATTCCATCAAATTGATACGTGCATATTACAAGATTCTAGGTGACCAGTCTACCACTCTGTTAAGGACAGGCTAAGTTCAACTGCTAAGGGGGTGAGAATTTATTGTATCCTGCTCAAGGAAACATAAAAATCCTCCAATAATTAAACTATTCAGTGGATTGACCAAAACATACACGAGTCATCCCAATTCAAAGTCCATATTAGTATTTGACAAATCGACACTGTGACTAAGCCAAGTCATAAATGATATGTTGGACAAGACAAAGCTGTACAGGATTTGGGGAAAAGCCCCCGTGTTAAAGAAACATCATGGAGAAATTGGATAAACAGATAATGGCTGAAGACCATAATATATTAACTTGCCTCAGTAACTAATGAATTATGCATCCGTAGAACACTTCTGAGATCATCCCCTTCTCTGAGAAACTTCGAACAATTAGGACATCCCGCAAAGTAAAGCATTGTCAACCATGAACTAGATTCTTCAACACCCAGAGATGAAAGTAATGATCTGTCAGAAACCAGACCAAATCTTATCCTTTCAGGAGACAGAAGATTTTCCCTCACAACTATCATGAACTCTGAGAAGGAAGTTTCAAACTTCTGGAACTCTTCAAAGCTACAGGAAAAACCAACACTAGGGCTCATATTCCCAGACTTCAGGAAAGCACTTTCAATTACAGAGCTCAATTCCCCAAGCCAAGGAATTCCATTAAACCCATTTTCAGTTCCACATGTCATCTTCTCATTTTCAATCCCCTGTTTTCAAAAAAAGAAATTAATGACAAATTCTCATTTATATATGTTCAAGATCAAATTTAGAATCATACTAACGTCTCACAAGAAACTATCATCCACCTTCTGGTTTTTCTTCCCTTCGACAGCTAGTGTTCTATTAGTCTCTCCATTCAGACCTGTTCCAAAAAGTTCCTCTGCAGGGTAATACTCATCAGCATCGTTGAGGGACAAAAAGATCATACAATACCACCAAAAATGTTAGTGGCCGCAGTTCAGGAAAATTTTTAATGGACAAATTGATTTACTTTAAGTTCATGATTGACATGCACATACGCTTGCTAGCACAGAACAGTATAGAAAGGATAAGATAAGGCAACTCATAAGAGCACAATTACGAAAATGCAGTACTAAATAAATCTCCAGAGAGAACACCTAGCCTAGTGAAATCATTTCCAAATGATGCTTTACATGGCTAAAATATATTTCTCTATTACTATTATGTAATTGCTGTACTGCCATTATCATTGCTTTTCTCATAATAATACAATAATCGACACCAACAAACAATTTAATTGAAGAACTCCAACAGCTGCATTGTATTAGGTCCTCTTATATGCAATGCACATCTACATGAGGCTTTACCACAAATAAGTAGTAATACAAGACACTGAAATAATGGGACCGATTTGTGCAATGGTAAAAGTTTGTATTGACATGTTTTAACTTTTAAGTACTTGGGCTCGAGTCTGAGAATAGCCACTTTGTGCCAAATAGTGCCAAAAGTTAGGTATGCTCCAGTCTTCCCCTCCCAACACCATGTAGACAAGATAAATAGAGGTCACAAACTCCGAAGTCCCATGCAAATATGATTTGAAATGTCCAACTAGCACTTCAAGACATGAACCAAATACTTAATGATGCTCCCAAGTCTTTCTGACTGATATTAAGAACTAAAGAGGAACAACAAATGCAATTTAAGTGGTTACTAGCACACTCCATCTCAGTCCAACTTCAAAATGTTCTTACGGGAAAAGGGATTTACAAATAATCATCTGCTGTTTTGAGGTCAGAATCAATTCCTTGGAAAATCTGGCCAGTCGTTCAAGCTCGCAAGAATCCCATAAGAAATCATTTTCAGTATTACGAAAACTGGCATATATGCAATAAAGCAAACCAAGCAGCAAACTGATTGGCTCAAGCCAATCATTAATCAAATGAGTACTCTAATAGACCTCTTTCTTGTTCAATTTATGAAGAGTTAATGGGTAAAAAAAATATCTTACACTATCAAGTTCCTTGTATTGGCCTTCTTTGCACCTTTTTAAGAAATTAAAGAATATAAAATAAATAATTTAGAAAATAGTTAGTGAGGCTACCGAAAGCATTTTCAGTTTCATTGTTCTTGCCCTTGGCCAGCAATCTGGGGGTCCATCCGCAAAATTCAAGGAGAAGCAGAGCCTTGTCAGTTGATTCAAGGAATTTTTTCAAATCCTCTGGTGTATCTAGAGATTTGAGGGGAATTTCTTCAGGAAAATGCGATATAAAAAAATAAATGGATGATAATATATTTTGAACTCGAAGTCTCCCTTGATACTTATAAGACAAGGAATTGTGGTAGTATATAATTGATATTCCCTCTGTAGCACCAATGGCATCTGCCAGCGCACTATCAGTGCTTCTATACAAGACCATCAGCTTTAGGGTGCCAAACTTATCTTCCTTATTAGTAGCCATGTGAGCTAATTGCTTCATGAGAGACCGAGACTCGCCGGACCCTGACCATCAAAAATCAATTTCATCAGATAAATGGAAAAATAAATTTAAAAAATCCTTCATGATAGTCTTTTTTCATTCATAATTAAGGCTAACTCACCCTTTTTGGGTTGCAAATAAAAATTACTCCCTTTATTGGTAAAACATATAACATTGTAATTGGCTAAGTGCTTGATCATCACTGTGGCAGATATTGACATTGCAAATGGCTGATTGTCTAAGGTACACAAGACATGATAGAAAAACCATTGCATATCATGAAGTGTATAAATATAACTAGCATGATCATAATTAAAATAAATAAATAGCCGAGCAAGACACTGTGTGTAAAAATAAAATACTAACTTCTATTTGCAACACGAATTATATGAATCATTTACTAAAATATGTACTTGAAGTCCTGGAATTACTAGAGAATCTACTTAAAACTTCTTTCCCAAGTTCATACATAAATTTTCAATGTGTAAATTTCGTACAAGAAGGAAAAACAATTAAAAGGCTTTCTTCTTTTCAATATTAGATATCCCAATTCTACATAATCAAATTTGAGTGTATTGGTACAGATATATCTTTATACATATATAGAGAGAGAGTAAGAGAGAGTTACATGGTACGGTGACCATGAGGAGGAGGTGTGGGTGGAGTCGGATCTGAGAGGAGAAGTTTTGTTTGGTGAGAATCTGCCATTGGAGTAGTTTGTTGCCGTCTGATTGTGAATCAACGGTCCGAAATGATGAGAACGAAATGAGGATAGCCAACACCAGCAACGACGGTGTTGTCCATGGTGAGTAAACAACGCCCACACCGTCTGATTTTCTCATCACAAAAGCACACGCACCGATTCCGATGACTTTCTTATTCTTCTTCTTTGATTCAGAGCTCTCTTTCTTTTTTCACTGTCTGAGACGTGAGAGAGAGACAGAAAGACAGAGGGAGTGCTGATTGCAGTCTCTGTTGTCGATAAAGCAAGCAATGATGGCAAATGCCAAATGGTGCGTTGATCTGGTAACTCTGTGACACGGACAACCCTATGCTATGGTTCAAGACGGGTTTATGTTTGGGTCTTTCTGTGTTGAAAATTAGACCCGACCCATACAGTTAGGGCTTTTCTTCCCTTTTATCCTTTGTTTTTTTTTGGGTAACCCTAACCATCCAAGCCCGGCTTGGATTTGGATCCTCTCTAATAATTTAAATTTAAGTTGTATATAATAAAATAAAATAAAAAACTTTTTTTCCTCGGTAAAAAAACACCCATGCACCTAAATATTTCGAAGGAAAATCCAATCTACTTTGAAATTGAGAAAATATTACTTGATTACAATATTAATCAATATTTGATAGTTAGGTGTGAAATCATGCATAAAGCATAGTTAAATAAGAAATGACGGGATGTGTTTAAATTATTCATGTGTTTAAATTATTCATCTTGTGTCCGGTGTCTTTTGACTCATACAAAACCACTATTAAAAAATAAGTTGAAATTTTGAACAATAATGAATTCGTTTATCTCTAAATGCTAAACACTTATTTTCTTATAGAATAATAAAAATAAAAAAAATTTATTACCGATTAAAATTTCAAACATTAGTTTTTTTTTTCTTAAACAATTAAAAATTAAAAAACTAATTTTTACAGTATAATCATACAGGCTTTAGCAATTAATTCTTTGTAATTTTCAATTACTTTCATATAAAACACTACAATTGTAATTTCAGGTGGAGTAAAGTAGTATGTGGGATTGCTCATGAGATAAAATGTCCAAAGTGCACTAAACTCTCATAAGTATCAAAAAGTTGCAAAATACTCCATCTAACATTTATTTATTTTGATTAACAACAAACACTTTCAATTCACCAAGAGTTGTAAATTATCACCTTGTGCCAAAAGAATGTTGATTTTTTTTTTTTTTTTGTGTTAAAAGTGATGTTGCAAAAAATAAAAATAACTGAACGCTTAAATTATGATGTTAAAAGGGTGCACATGAACACGTGGATTGGTTGTTTTGATAAAAATATCTTCATGCATGCTATTTTATTATTTTAAAATTTATTTTATAAATAATAATTTGAGGGTATTTGTTGCAAGTGTAATACTCCGTAATATTTTCATAAAAAACAGTCAATCAATATATCAGGTGGCCATTTTAACACCAAATTTTCAATATGCATTTGCTGAAGGGAATAATGTACACTATTATTTATTTATTGATTATTATTTTTTATTGATTGAGGGTATTTGTTGACAAAAGAATACAAATAACATAAATAGCATAGTGGTATTTCGCAACTTTTTGACACTAGATAAGAATTTCACTCCAATTTGGCCATATAATATTCATTCAAAAAAGTTGATTTTGATATTCTTAGGTGAATAAATTTGTATAAGATAATAAAAAACACATTCCATCTATTTTTATTTTCTTTTTGTCATCTATTTGAAATATAACCTTTATGTAGTATATGGTATAATACTATCTAATAATTTAATTTTGTGGATTAAAAGATAATACCATTACAATTGGTATTAAAATTAAACCGCTATTGTTGTACTGTCACAAAACTCACCAAAAATAAATTTGGTACAAATAGATGAATAACAAGAAAACAAAAAATCAACTTCCGATTAAAAAAGAATAACAAAAAATCATTATTTTGAAATAAGAAAAAATAAATAAAATCTAAGTGTAAAATATGCAATTTTTAGTGGATATAATGTATTCATTTGTCAACTCACTAAAGCACACACCCAATGCAAAACAAAACATAAATGAGACCATAGGCGAAATTCATCTAAGGTTTATTTTTTTAATGCGACAGTGGCACAATCACAAAGGCAAGGCACATCTCCATGCCTGATTGGCATAATAATCGCACGACTCACATTGTCAAATTATGGTTGATTAAAAATCTTTACAAGTGGCACAATCACAAAGGCAAGGCACATCTCCATGCCTGATTGGCATAATAATCGCACGACTCACATTGTCAAATTATGGTTGATTATTCCAAACTAAAAGAATCAGTCACTTGTAAAGATTTTTAATTCATTTATTAGAAAAAATTACATTTAGACTCCGTTTGTTTTGACGAAAAATATTCTTTTTGTAAAATATTTTCTTGCGACAACCAAACACTAAAAAAAATAAAAAAATATTTTTTAAAAAATATTTTACACCTAAACAAAAGGAGCCTAATTAACCTTTGATTACTCAATATTTCAAAAAGCATAAATATATATATACACACGTCTATGATAAAGTCGCATGACTCACATTATAAAATTAGTGCCTGCTGTGTGTCTACGATTATTAATTAATAAATGTGCCAAAAAATCTCCACAAATATATTTAGCATTTTGAATATAGTTGTTTAACATAATTAAAACTATCGTACATGGTTGCATGCATGCGTGTGTTCGTTGATTAGACCGACCTTCTCTTTAATACTACTCCGTACATTTTATTTTGAAGGTACTAAGAAGTGTTTTTTACATTTTGCCCTCAACGGTCACAATAATTATACAGTATATATATATATATATATATATATAGTTGGAAACTTTATAATTAAAGTGAAAAGACAAGAGTACCGTATAAATATAGTCTGTCACATTGAGACCCAAGTCGCGATCTCAGTGGAAACAGTTACGTCGGCGTTTTAATACGCACCACTCCACCAATCGGAGCCTCCACAACTCGCTGTCGCTTCCACAACTCGCTGGAGGTTTGGACTCCGATCACTTGTGGGCGATCTCTCTCTGAATTCATCCCCCATTTCTCATAATGGAACAAACTTAGGGTTTCCAAAACCCAGCAAGAGAGAGAAAGAGAGATGTCTCGCCACGCGGGCTCGACGGCTTTCCACAAATCGAAAACTCTCGATAACAAATACGTAAGAACAATCATTCTCATCCACTCTCTAGGGTTCTTGATCGCTTCATTTTTGTAGGGTTTTAATTTGATCGTTTGGTTTCCAATAAAACCAAGGACAAATTAGTAGAAATTGAAATTCTTTGTTTCCAAGAAAACTGAGGATAAATTAGTAGAAGTTGAAATTCTGAAATTACTTTAACATTTAGTTTTTGGATTTTAAACGTGGGCTTTGTTGAATTGGATGACGTTTTATATCGTTTGTTAAATTGCTTTGATCTCTCTTTGTTCTTTTTGATGCTCTGTTTGGTTGCCAAGGAAAATGTGGGAGAAGAGAGCAAACTACAATATTGAAGCTCGAACTTCCATAATATTGGACCCTTCTTTGAACAAATATTTCAGTTTACTTGAAAATCTTAATTGCCCAATGTGTCTTTCTTCTTATTTTCTGCTTGGCTTTTAGGAGATTTTGGACGTAAAAAGAACTATATATCATAAGGGAAAATTACACTTAGGACTCCAGAGAACAACGAACACCACTGGAAAAGTTGCAATACAATCGTTTGTTCTATTGTTTCTTCTTGTTCATTGAGAAGTTGTTAGTAAACATTGATTTATCTGGCACTTCCCAGAACCTGCAATTGCAGGAGTCTTGTGCATTGGGTTTGCCCTCATTATTATTATTATTATTTATTTATTTATGTTCTGTCTGAGATCATATTCAATTATTTGTCTTTGTTGATGCTAGTTTCTCCATTATTCGGAACTCGAAACAATGTAGAAAACAGGATCAAATTTTATTCTCATTTATTTTCTTAAGTTCCCTTGGCAGCCTAGTGGGGGCTAGGTTTGCTTGTCATTCTGTTACAATTTACCAGTTAGGATTGATTGTTATTGGTTTGAGATTCTTGGGTCTTTAATGTGAACTTTTTGCTGCTATATGTATTTTCTGTTGAAGATGCTTGGAGATGAGATTGGCAAAGGAGCATATGGCCGAGTTTACAAGGGTTTGGATTTGGAGAATGGAGATTTTGTTGCGATTAAACAAGTTTCTTTGGAAAATATTGCTCAGGAAGATCTCAACATTATCATGGTATGATCTTAATCACTCTCTCTCTTGCGCTCTCCCCCCCACCCCCCCCCCCCCTCCTGAACTTTTAATGTTTTTGTTTTTGTTTTTGGATAACCTTTAAAGCTTGTTGTATAATAAAATTCCCCAAAACTTTTTTTCTTTATATTTGTTTGTTAAAGTGACATAATTGGATTTTCTTATATGTTTATGGTATAATCAACAACGATTAGTTCCCAAATTCTGGAATTTAACGGTTTCTGTTCTTTTTCAATAACATATTTTTGTCTGGAGAATAGTCAGTCGCTGTAGCTTACTGCAACCTTTGAGTGAATGGAAGCAAATTTAATCAGCAGAATGGTTTCCAAGTGTAGAAAATTGAGGTCTATTTTTTTCCCTTGCTTTAGTTGAATTCGTGTAGGACATAGCTCATGTATACAAAGCATGATGGAGATCAGTGGTAGAGTTATTTAAAGAAGTGTAAAAGGCGCCAAAAGGAGGATTCTAAGATTCGAGCTGACATATGCTAGATAATATGGGTCCACATGGAGTTTTGAATAATTGGGAGATTTTGTCAACTTTTAGTTACTTTAATTATGTTGTTAGGTAAATATTGATTACCTCAATTATGGGGTAATCATGGAATCAAATATTGATTACCTCAATTACGGGGAGATTACTTTATTTTATTATGCTATAGAGTCAACTTTTGATTACCTCAATTATGGGGTAATCTCAGGGTCATAAGTTGCTATAAAAAGGGTATGATGTAAACTTGGTGAGATAGTCAATGAATGAATAAAAATATCTTTCAGATTTCTTTGTGAGTAATTCACAAATTATGAGGGTGTGAGGCCTTTTCTAGGGGTGATGCCTAGGCCCTATTGGTGTGATTCCAATAGGTTTTTGTTGTTTTCAGTCCTTTCTCTCTACCAATCTGTTTATTTGAATTTCCAGCCACTTCTTTTTCTTTTTCTTTTTTTTTTTTTTTTTCTTTCTACATTGGTACTATCAAACCTCCGAATTTCAGCCCTAGTTCTTTGAACTCTCAGCCTCTGCATTCTTTGAGTTCTTAGCCATTTAAGGTTGCTCTCTTGTCCCACATTAGTTTTTGGTATCAGAGCCTAAGTAGACATTATGTTTACTCGATCTGGCAATGAAACATTGGATGATAATCAGGAGATTGAGTTGTTGTCACATATTCTGGAACAACTTAAAGGGGCTGAATGCTCGATGCGATAAGATAGGAGCTCAAATTTCGCGGCCTTCTAACAAATTGGCAGCCCTTGAACAAGGATATGCATTTGGTACTACCGATGGCAGAAAGTGGCAGCAGCAACAGCCTTTAAACCCTCGGCAATGGTAGTTTGAAGGCAGATCCACCATTACATCCTATGTTGGAGTTTCCAAAAAAAAACTTTAGAGGTGAATCTTCATGAGCCACATGATGCCGCTGGAGATATAACAAAGAAGTCAAGTGATGGAACGTGCAGCACACCGACAACAACAATGGTGCCAAATGATGGTTCAAATGCATCTTTTTATAACATGGCAGATCCAAGTTCGTTGTGGAAACCAAGCTCAGAAGACTATTATTGATGGCGATGGCTGCACAAGTGTTGTCTCCACAGCCATGATTAAGCACCTCAAATTTTCAATCCAACCACATCTACAACCATTCAAAGTGGCTTGGGTATATGGTACTTCTATTCCAGTGATTTATTCAGAGGAGAGGAAGTTTAACACAATTATAATTCTTGGCCTTATTCACAAGGACTTGCTGAACCTTACAGAATACAGCATGTGCATGGCAAAGGTTCTTGATGTTGGGAGGAATAAAGCTGCTCCAGAGTTTGCAATATCTCTTAGACAGAATTTTTTGGTTCAGGAATCAAGAGTAAGTGTATCAGCACTTCCCAATTTGGTTGAGGCCTTGGCAAAGCTTGCAAATAAAACCTAGATCTCATGAGTCTTTACAACAGTTGATTGAGATTGCAAGTAATTTTGTTGCTAATGTCGTAGTTCTTACTGGATTTGCTGCTGGCAAAGGTGATAGGGTCAAGCAATCCAGAGAAAAGAAGGGCTTTGACCATGCTATTACAAGCAGGGTCAACTATATCAATATCGAGTCTGAGGAAGCAGATCCTACCGGTTTTAGTATTCAGATTTCCGCACTATTTGCGGAATGGTACCAGATAGGTACAACTGATATATTATGTACTCACTTTATTTCACAGTTGCAGCAAAGTGGATGTCAAAATGAGGTTGATGAGTCAGAAGGTGATTTTGTAATTGTGTTGCCTAGACCAAGTCAAAGACATGATGCCATATTCGTTGTTGTGGATCGTTTCTTGAAAGTGGAGCACTTCATCTCTTATTCTAAGACTTCCGATGCTGTCCACATTGCCAAACTTCTTTTTCAAGACGCTGTCCGGCTTCATGGGTTGCACAACACCATTGTTTCTGATCGAGATATGAACTCTATGAGTTATTTTTGACGGACATTATGCAAGTTGCTGAATACAAGGCTGAAAATTTCTTCTTTTCACCCACAAACTGATGGCCAAACCTATGTCATTAATCGTAGCTTGGGTGACTTGCTTCATTCTCTTGTTGGTGACCATATTACTAGTTGGGATCAAATTCTTCTTATTGCTGAATTTGTGTACAACAGTTCTGTAAACAGGACCATTGGGCGCAGTCCCTTTGAGATTGTAATAGGCTTACATCCTAGGAAGCCAATTGACTTAGTACCTACTACCTTTACTTATTGAGGCACACCCTAGTGCTGAAACTGATGCTTTAAGTAAGCAAATCCAAGATATTTATGCTGAAGTTCAAAGGAAGATTGCAATAAGCAATGAGAGTCACAGAGCACAAGCTGTTTTTCAGAGTGGTTATCAGATGTTCCTTGTTACCTGGAGGAACCGTTCAAATTTTTATTGTACTTGGATTGCTGATAGTTAGTTCCAATATCTAGTTCCCGACCTTTTTTTTTGATAAGTAAGAATTTATTAAAAGCGCTCAAAAGGGGAGCGAAACCCAAAGAAAACAAAAAGGGGCCAAAAGGCGCCTTAGACCTTCAGAGAGGCCAAGAAAACAATGATTTCCTCCATAGATCTATAATCTCTCCCTGAAACCCAACAAAAAAGAGTATAAATAATAGAAAACTTAAGCATAGAAATAGGCTTCTTTTTCCCGTCAAAATATCTCCTATTTCTCTTGAGCCAAATACACCACTAGATACAAAGCGGCGTAGCCCTCCAAGCATCCTTAACACCAACCCCAACAGAGACGCCTCTCCAAGCTTCAATCAACCCTCTAGAGGAATAGGGCATGGCCCAATGGACCCTAAATAAATGAAGCATCAAATCCCAGCAGCCTCTGGCCATACTGCAATGTAAAAGGAGGTGATCAACTGATTCCTCATTACACAAGCACATATAACAATGATTGACCACCACCTGATTCCTCCTCCTCGAATTATCCTGGGTTAAAATCTTACCCAGGACAAAGGTCTAAGCAAAAAAGGCGACCTTGCGGGGAGCCTTAGAATGCCAAATAAACTTCCAGGGGAAGAGTTCACCTTGACCATCCGAAAGACATCTAAAAAAGGACCTAACCTCAAACCGGCCTTGCGAGTTAGGAATCCATAGCGACCCATCTGGTTCCCCAAAAGAAATCACCTGGCTATACAAAAGCTCCAGAAAACGAGAAACATCCTCGATCTCCCAATCCTGAAAATGCCTCCTGAACTGAATATCCCAAGTCAGTCTCCCGTTATCAAGATGATAACAGTCAACAACCATGGCCTGTTGATGAGAAGCAATCTTATAGAGCCGTGGGAAAGCGAGAGCAAGAGGGAGCTCCACACACCAGAGATCCTTCCAAAAACTGATCCTCCTTCCATCTTTAATGCGAAAACGAACATGCTTGCAGAAGTCATCCCAACCCCTTCGAATGAAGTTCCATACTCCCACCCCCCTTGGACCACGCATAGCCCGAGAGCAACACCCCCCACGACCTTCCCCAAACTTGCTAGCAATAACTCTCCTCCATAACCAATGCCTCTCGATTCCAAACCTCCAGAGCCATTTACCAAGGAGAGCCTTATTAAAAGGCAACAACCTCCTTAACCCTAAGCCTCCAAACTGAATTGGACGACACACTTGATCCCACCAAACCAGGTGAAACTTGAACTCTTCTCCTTCCCCCCCAAAGAAAATTACACTGCAATCTTTCAATTCTCTCCGCCATTGAAGAAGGAATCTGAAACAGAGATATGAAGTATGTAGGAAGGCTAGAAAGAGTGCTCTTAATCAGGGTAACCTGACCCCCCTTAGACAAGTAATGCTTTTTCCAACCCGCCAACCTCCTCTCGAATCTGTCCACAACCGGATCCCAACTCCCCACACATCTGGAAGGGGCTCCCAAAGGCAATCCTAAATAAGAAATGGGAAAGGAGCTAGTGCAACATCCAAGGATCTGAGCAAACAACTCAATCCCAGGAGCATCCCCAACAGGCACAAGAAGACTCTTGCCTACATTAACCTTAAGGTCAGAAACAACTTGAAACCAAATCAAAACGCATCTCAAATACCTCAGCTGGGACGCATCCGCATCACAAAACACAATAGTGTCATCTGCAAACATCAAATGAGAAACCTCCAATTGACTAGCAACATCCCTGCCCACCCGAAAACCACTCAAAAAACCCAGCTCCACAGCCCTCTTCAACAATCTACTAAGAGCCTCCATCACAAAAAGGAACAGGAAAGGGGAAAGCGGATCCCCTTGTCTCAAGCCCCTCGAGCTAGAGAAAAAACCCGTTGGCGCTCCATTCACAAGGACAGAGAAACGAGCGCTAGAAATGCAGAAAAGAATCCATCTCCTCCACCGCCCACCAAAACCCATCCTCTCTAACAGATAGAGAAGGAAACTCCAGCTCACATGATCGTATGCCTTTTCAATATCTAGCTTGCAAAGAACACCCGGAACACCACTGCTCAAGCGGGAATCAACAC